GAGATTCATTTGTTTTTAACCTCAGATCATTCACAATTTTTCTCTCCCCTACGTTGTCCAGAGAAGGCCAATGAAGCTGGAGAAGGGCAAGTCATATGAGGAGCAGCTGAGGTATCTGGGATTGTTTAGCCTGGAGAAAAAGAGGCTTGGGGGAGACCTTATCACTCCATATAACTTCATGAAAGGAGGTTATAGCAAAAGATTTATTAAGTCCTAAGTTGAGGCTTCATCATATATAATACTAGAAACAGCTGACCATAGTGAGAACAGCTAGTTCTGGCAGTGAGCTGAGAGTACTGTTTGTTACTGGAATTCTATGTTATAAAATGTAGACCCTATTTACTACTGTTTACTTAATCTCTTTTACATTCCCTTTTTGTCTTCATTATCCCATTTGACTGCTTTGTTCATGTTGCATATTTTCATGCTTTAGTACCAGATCTGATTTGTAATACATGTGGATAGACAGCATTGAACTGTTTAGAAGAGCATTTCCTTTTTTCTCTGTTTAGTGTCTAGAACATTGAGATTCCAGTCCTAATTGATAGTAGTTGTAAGAGAAATACATATGCAATGCCCTATGTGTTAACATAGGTATTTCAACAATAGGAGTTCTTTCAGCAGGTATGTTTCCTTCTCTTTGCCATGGCAAAGCCTTCTCTTCACTCATGTAGACCCCCTCAACATCAGAACTCAGTTCAGAGAAAACATCAGCCATGTTACACTAAATACTACAAGCTAAATTTAGCTACAAGCTAAAAACTACAGATTTAGCAGATTTACATGCATCACTATTAGTAAAAGGTCACCATTAGTTAATAGCTCCCTTGTTACTAAGCAAATATAACTATTTTGATTCAGGATGTTGTTTCCTCAGTCAACATTTGGGATCTGTTTTGCTTCTGGCTTTTGGGTTACCTTTTAGCACCTATCATCCTCACAACCTCTAACAAGCTTTCTCCTTTGCAGGAGCATACCCAACAGACATGTTCTGTGTAATATTCCCCATGATTACTATTTTATAGGAACACTTCTAGAAACAATCTGAGTCTGTTATTGAAGAATTACAGTAAAGATTAGTTTACATTTACACATAGATTTTGTGGCCACATGCCACCAGATGAATTTTTATGAGCTTTGATTAGTCATTGTGATATTTAGAGTTAAAATTCAGCAGAATTACAAAGGCATTGAAGTGTGCTGAATTAAATCCTCAGAGCGATTCATAGAGACATTTGAAATCAAGGTTTACCTTTGCTATAAAAACATAGTTTTTCTTATAGACTGTTACCTGTACTAGCATGAACAGTTTAATATTTCAGATTTTAAAAAAAGTTCATAACATGTTGTCTAGCCAAAAAAATGCAGCCTTTAATTGATAAACTACACTAATACAGTCAATGTGTTTTTTTTCTTCCACTAAGAGCAAAGTCTAATCAATATTTGTCTAGCAATCCTGACTATCTAACTCCTAAGGTAGCAATAAACAATAAATAGCAGTACAAAGTTGGTTCTAAATATTAAATGTAAATATGTTTGATGAATTAAATATTTTTTAAAATTGTATTTTACTGCCTGTAATACATCAACAGGCTGCTATTCTTAATCTCACTCAATTTTTTTGAGTATCTTCATAAAAATAAGAACACAGCTACAGTGTGGTAATTGCAAAGCACTTGGCTGTAGACTCCACTTAACACAAACAGATTTACGTACATGAATAGAAGTGAAATTATCTTTTTAGATGTTTTGCTAAGTAAGTACAAGCTGCAAAGCCAAAAGCAAGTGGAAAAGGCCTTGTCTTTCTAACAGTTTATCTCATGTCTAGATATTGGAGAATTGCAATACCTGACTGCTGATCTTAAAGGCAGATATATTGTAGAAAAAAAAAAAAAAAGAGTCTACATGTAGAAATGCCAGTGGGAGAGTTGAAAAAGCAGACAGTCACGCTCAATCTGAAAATGCCTTTTTTTCCTTAGAATAATTCTAAATATAAAGAACCATGGTCAGTAAATTATAAAATATCGGATAATTACAGATGGATTGGCAGTCAATACTATTTACTACATAGAAAGAAAGATTGTTTCATAAACCTGCTGTACATATCGTAAATGTTATATGCACGCAAAAAATGTCACTTGCCAACCCACTGCCTCGGGTGTCAGGTAAGGGGTCTCCCAGCTTTGAGGGGTAACCTTCAGAGGTATCCTTGCCCAAGTGGGGATGGCCACTGCACAGCCAGCTGCTGTGAAGGGAGAGCTCAACAGGCCCTGATGGTTGCATATATTTGTAGTGTAAAGTGGCTGATTCACAGTCAGATTTTCTGCTACGTTCATGCAGTTTTGGCTGCTTATCAGCCCAGTCTCCAGCCAAACCATTTTTGGGGGGTGTTTGGTGCTGAATTTTCACTGATAACATTACACAATAGGATTTAATCTGTTTAGACCTACCTGCTGAGAATCTGCCCAAATCAAAGTTTGGTTAGCTTAAACAGGAGGAGTGCATTTGTCACACCATGTAGATTGGGGTTATTTCACAGGATCATGACTCACTGCATCACAGTGTAGTCTCCTATTGCTGTTGGGGATCAGTGTAACCCCTTTCATAAACACATGGAGCTCCAATTCCTAACAAATTATTTTTGCTCCTGCTGCTGGAAACAGATTCCAGTATCTGGCTGCTTGAATGGTTGAGGGGCTTCTTTTGCTGCTCCAGCCTAAATGTGTTTGTTCATGGGCTATTTATTCACCACATAGGGAACATAGGACTTCATCAGGACTCTCTGCTGCAGGTCCCTGTCTAGTACATTCTTTTGAATCCATTTCTAAGGTATTTTATCAGAACTTTTAATTTGTATTTGTTTTCTTTGAACCTAGATTATTTACTTGGATCAATAGAATTAGCTGTCCACTATTAGCCAAATATTGTCTAAATCCCCAATTCAGCAGCTTTTTCCTGTTCAAGAAAATGCATGAACACAGTTAAGCACATTGATTTAATTAGTGCTTGCATTCCCTTTTTCGTAGTACAGGAAGGCATTTTTTTGTTTTGTAGTAAATCACAGTAGCAGCATCAACATGAATAATAACTTTTATCAATTTGAGTCAAAAAAGGAATATCTCTTATTACCAGACAAAAAAATTAAGTGATGATCTGTCAATTACCTTGATTAGTAAAACCTAAAGTTACAAAGGAAATCTAACAGTAAAGAAAGACTGAAATATGATGGAAGACTGTTAAGCAAATATGGCATGCCTTCTCTTGTGTTTCCTCAGGAGTTTTTGAAAGATCTCAGGGAACAATTGATCTTGGATCAAGGAGCATCACTGTAATATTCACAATGATGTCATGTTGGGACAGCAAAAGAGGCCTTCAGGACAAGAGCCATTTCATTCAAAGCACTTTTCAGGTGCTTTGATTCATTCCTGCCTTACTGCTCATCCCCACTCTTCTCAGGATCGCATCATTGCACACCTCTACATCCGTCTTCACAGCTCTAGCTTCGCTTTCTCTCTCTTTTTTATTTTCTTTTTTTTTTCCTTTTCTAAATGACACCATCACTTGAGAAAGATCTAGCTTCTGTTTAGTACTCAGTGCAGGATGTTCTCATATTATACTCTTTGGAATATGTGCTGAGTCATCAGCAGAATAAGCTCTTAACTGTAATGGCAATAGTATGCACCTCATTGTCAAAAAACTTTTTTCATAAAAAATCAGGCTGTTACTGCTGTTTACTTTATATATGTTTTGTAAATTGTATTTCTAGGTTTGCTTTGCTCTTCTGACCTTGTCTCAGTTTGAAGAGACTGGAATGTTTGCTAAAGAGGATGAGTTATGAGACAAACCAAACTCCTCTCTCAGCAATTGTAAATTCAAAATTAAGGGGGCTTTAATCGAGGAAGTGTGGAAAAAAACCAAAACACCAGAAGAAATAACAACCCTTTATTAAAACATACATGTATGTTGGCAAGAACAGTAACAGAACACAAAAAAATAACTAGACAATAGTCCTGTACCCAAAAGTCCCCTTCAAACAAAAGAAAAAGTCTGAATACTTCTCTGTCTTTAGCACAGTTCTGATCACAGTCGGCAGGGGGCGCTGTTGGATCACTGGAGGTGCAGAGCCTGCAGTGCTCTGTGTTGACCTGCAGGGGGCGCTGTTGGGCCCTGGCGGTCACTGTGTGGGAAGGGGGTCTGGGGGTTGGTCTTGGATCGCGGGAGAAGCCGAAAAGAAAATGGAGACCCTTCCCTCAAAGGGAGAAGGGCAGAAGGAAAGAACAGTCCACCCCTACGGGACTCACTGTTGTTCTCATATGACAGTGTTTCAAGGCTCCTCCTCTCCCAGCGAGCACACAACTCTCCGATGGAAAACTCAGTAGGTCCCAGCTGGAGTCATGAGGCAGTGTACGAGCCGACTGAGGCCAGTGGTCAGGCCTCACCAGGATGAAAGGTCAGAAAGACCAGCTTCCAGGCCTTTTTTCCAAAAAATGCCTGGACACAGACCCTGTCTCCATCCCAGAGAGAGAACTCTGCAGTCTGATCTCTCCCCTCAGAGAAGAGCCAGCCACCCCCTCCCAAAACTGCTCCCCTCTCCCCCCAGCCTCTGATTGGTCCATCTGTTAGGAATGTGGTCTGGCCAGCTAGATTCTTTTGTAAGGCTAATTGATTCCCTTCCCCCCACTCACTCCGTTTTCCTACAGTGGAGCAGGGGAAGAAAAATTCCCCTGTTGGATTTATAACCTATAACAGACCTGGATAAAAATACAGTGGGCAGTAGCTACTTTCTTAATTAGCATTTTCCTTTCAGAAATAATTACACTTTCATTACTAATTGCTCTGTTCCAGCGGATATCCATTTGCCTCTGATATCCAGATAATAACTTACATGTTTAAGGATTTTTTTTAAGATATATGGCAGTTGTGGCTTAGGGATGGTGTTCTGTATTTTAGTCCTCCCACTAAAAAAACCAAACCACACACCACTTCTCCCCTACCTCTAACTGGACACACAAAAGACAAAGATCACAGGTTGAGATAAGAACAATTTACTGGAAAAAGCAATGAGATAAGAAAATGAGCAGTAACAGCAATAATATTAATTAAAAAAAGTGTACAAAAGGGAGAGTGGTTCACATCAAAAAATGCTCACCACAGACCTTGTGACAATAAACAACACTGCATGGGTCTTCCTGCCATATTTTCTCTACCAGATGGGACCCCTTCTCGCTGGAAGAGAGTCCATTCTTCTCACTCTGTCAATGGCAGGAGGTGGTAAAAAGAACCTGTGTGTCCTAGCCATGCCCCCTTCTGGCTACTGCAAAAAATTAACCCTGTCTTGGCTGGAACCAGGACAATGGCCAAAAAAAAAAATATTTTTGAATTTTTGTTTAGTTTTCAAGATTGAGAATCATACGTGTCTTACACTCTCCCAATAATCATACAGGCACTGGCAGTGCCTGTGCAACTTGGGGTGGAAGGAGATAAGGGAGTTGGGAATGAAGGAGTGAAGTTGAGGTGGGAAGAAAAGGGAGCGGGTAGGTAAGTGTCTTTGATTCTCATCATCAAACTCTTTTTAACTGGCAGAAAATTAATCTTCCTCAAGTCAAGTCTGTTTTGCTTATGATAGTAATTAGCAAGCTGTCGCTCTGTCTTTATCTCAGCCTATGGGCATTTCTATCTTGTTTTCTTTTTGTTTGTCCCTTGGAAGAGTGGTGAAAGAGCAACTGGGTTGGATGCGTGTCTGGTAGCCAGCCAAAGTCAACACACCAGATACAGCATGTGCCATGTTAGGCCATATGCCACAGCAGAACTTGGGCCTTAATTAGACTTTTCAGGTGGTAATGTAAAATGAGCAGGCACTATATGCAACAACTAAATAATTAAAATAATGGCTAAAAATTCCAGCATCACCATGCCATTATACCTTCAAACTGCATCAGACGGTGTCAGCATGGTTTGCATCTCTAACCTTGTGGGTTGGACATCTGAATTTGCAGAATATCAGTTGGTGCTCAATAATGTAAACAAAGTTATCTATTAATAAAGTCACATAGAATAAAATGTGTACGTATTTTACATATGTAAAAAAAAAAAATACTAAAATATTTTTCATGCAGTGAATGTATATTCAGTAGTTAACACATGCTGGAGAACACACAGAAACACCATCCCTATAATTACAGAATCATAGAACAGTTTGAGTTGGAAGCCATGGACATGGTTGCTTGCTCCAGGTTGCAAGTGCACATTACCATGTCATGTCCAGCTTCGCATCCACCAGCACCTCCAAATACTTCTCCTCAGGGCTAGTCTCGATCCATTCTCTGCTCAGCCTGTAGTTGTGCTTGGGATTGCACTGAATTGGTTTCCTGTTTGATAGTCTTCTCTGCCAGTATAAGGATTTATTTATGACTTCTCTAGAAAAAATTGAAATTGGGTGTTGGAGCTGAAAGCAGGAGAAAATGGAATAAAATATGTTGAGGAGAACAGTGGAAAAATGTGTGAGAAAAGAACTATCTACTTCCAGATTGAGACATTACTGGCAGTGAATTCCAGGGGAAAAAAAATTACATGTTGATCAAAAATATCTGTATAGGCAATTCTTAGGTACCATCAAATAAATACCATCTTAGAACAAGGACATTTTATTCTATACTCCTACTCCTATACTTCTCTACTCTTAATCTCATATTCCTATACTCCCACTGCTTCATTCCATGTCCCTTTCTACCTCCACATGCACTGAATGTGATGCTGGATTTTGCCCTTTAACATTTTTCAAACAATGAACCTAAGATCGGCTGGCTGTCAGACTGCTTCTCTTTCTGAGTCAGCCTAGTGTTTCTGTGACTTTATTTGTCACTGTTGTGACAGTGTTTGTCCTTGCCTACAGTTGTGAAAAGCACTATTTTGGGGGGAAAATGGGATGTTTCTTTTGGTGTTTTCTAAATGCTATCAACTATATATACATTTCAGTTAATTGCTAAATTTCCTATAGGACTATCATCTTGAGAAAGTTCAAGCAGCATTGCAGAATCTTTAGTGAGTTGAGAATTTTCTTACTGTCAGAGATGAAGTCTCCTTATCTGATTTTTATTCAGTTTATAATATGGATTATATAGAATAATGCCAGCATTTGCTTCGGAAAAACTTCACTCCTCTGAGACTCTTGAACAATAATATTAAAATGTTACTATAATATTTTTACTTCATCTCAACTGCCTCATCAAGTCAAGTGAATCCAACATGGTTTTTCCAGGCTCTTTTAAATAGTTAACACATATTAGATGGATGTCGTCTGACCTCTGGAGGAGCATCAAAGATTTGTGGTAAATAAAAAGAAGGTAAATCTTCCCTGTAGGAGAGGTAATAACCAGAACATTAGTTATTATATGAAGAAAACTGATATTCTAGTAAAGAACTTTTCTGCTGTCATTTTATCTTTTTTCCTTCTGCAAAACAGTACCACTGAACTCAGATAAATGGCTTTCCACGAAGTGTAGGGCAAAGATGAAGACTACTGATGCCTTAAGGTCCATCTGTTTTTTTGATTTTTCTAATTTTTATAAGTTTTATAAGTAGTTATACAGTAGAAGTAGATTTAGAAGCAGCAGCATTTCATTCCCTTACCATTAGCACAGAAACTCTCCAAACCTATTACCCCATTCCATGCTCCCCATATCAATTCTACCCCCTTAATTCCAGTAGACATGTTTCGTATCACTCTAAGATAGGCCTGTTCTGTTTGGAGAATGCTTGTACTTTGGCCTAAACTGCAGAGTACAGTCAAACTCTGGGTAACTGTGTGCCCCCTGTACCCCGACGAAGATGCAAATTGATGAAGAGAGGGTCTCAGGGACCCCAGCCCCAGTTCCCAATGGGTGTGACTGAGGGTGGTTCAGGGCAAAAGCCAGAGGGAGGATAAAACCTCGAATTGGACAAGCAGTATTATAAATTGTAACATGTACAGAGGGACGGGCGCGCGCGTCTTGTAATCTTACGCCTAGGCACAAATTAAAACCCTTTCCTTATCTCACCTTTGAAACTAATTTGCCTCAGAGTTTTTTTCTCCCTGAATTTTCTTTAGGCATCACTACAACAGAAGAGGTATTTCTTGCATTAAACAGTCTTCATGGGGGTTTATTATTTTTGACTGAGGAAGCACAGGAAAATTCAGCACCAAAACCATGATTCTACTCAGAATAAGAAATACTCTATGACACAACTAGATGCTTTTATAATGCTTAACTCAAACTTGCAGCTCAGGAGGCAGTCCTAGGAGTCATCATTGATACCTCTTTGAAATTGTCAGCCAAGTATGCATTAGCAGATGAAAATGTAACAGGATGTTGGCAAATCACCAAAAGGGTGCTGAAAACAGATCAGAGGCATCTGCTTGAGTTTAAATGTCATTGAGTCTGTGTTTTGTGGGTACTATGTCCAGCTTTGTTTTCTCCATTGCAGGAAGTATGTAGAGGAGTTAGAGAAAGCTCAGAGAATGGATGACTGAAACAGTCACATAGTGGAGCAGCTGCTCTGCAAGAAAAAATTAGAAGACAAGTTAATTTATTGAACTTTTAGTTCTCTCTTTTTGAAAGAAACTTGTATCTAGAAGTCTAAAATGGTCTCCGGATTACCATGATAGAAAAGCTCAAAAGTATACAAAAAATCCCGAGTCAGAGCAAGCTTCCTTTAATGTCACATGGGCACTTGCTATTAGCAGAACATAAGAATTCAATATTGTCCTGGTTCTGGCCAGGACAGGGTTAATTTTTGCAGTAAACAGGGGGTATGGCTAGGACCTAGGGGTTATTGTATACCATCTCACCTCATTTTCTGAGGACGAGGGGAAGGGGTCCCTTCCAGGTCAGGTAGTATGGCAGTAGTGGGGTATTGTCAGGAGGTCTCTGTGTGGTAAGCAATTGCATTTGAATTATTCTTCTCCGGTACACTTGTTATTAATATTGTTGCTGTTACCATTCATTTTCTTATTTCATTTGCTGCTTCCAGTAAATTGTTCCTGTCTCAACCTGTGATCTTTACCTTTCGTGTCTCTAATTCTTCTCTCTATTCTGCTGAAGGGGGAGGGAAGGGGTGAGTGAGTGGCATGTGGTTTGGAGTGGGAACACTAAACTGGGGAATACCATTTCTAAACCATGACAAATATATATTGAGTAAAATGTCAGAAGTGATTAAACCAGTAATGATGGAAAGCTGAACTGGAGGAATCCAAATATTATTGTAATCATGTGCTAAATAATTGATAAACCAATTTCATTGACTTAATCCAATCTTACCCTGTATAGCAAAGTACAGGTCTGGCAATGAAAGTCATATCACAACATTTTCTACCTGTGCTGCTAGTTGCCTTTGCTTGATCTTCTTCAAGTCACAGTGCATGGGCATTCAGAGGGGATACCTGGCTGTTCAGCAGCAGTGCCAACTATGCTAGCTCCCTCGGTGTCTTGGTTCGTGACAGTGCCTGGGAGATGTTTTTTCCAGAAAATTCTATGTTCTTCAGGCATTAGTATCCCCTTGAAATACCATCTTATACATTAATATTACTAATGTGGAATGAGAATAGACAATATTCCTCCTTTCAAATTCTATTTGAAACTATACATTTTTATATATATGTATGTTATTCTACGTGATTGAGTCTGTTGTAATCCATACATTTAACCAGCAGATAAAAAGCACATCTCTTGATATGAGCCATCGATATCTCTCTCTCTTGAAAGAGCCGTTGACCACTACCCTCTGGATGTGACCATCCAACCACTTTCTTATCCATCTAACAGTCCGCTCATCAAATCCATCTCTCTCCAACTTAGTGAGAAGGATGTTGTGGAGGACCGTGACAAATGCTTTACAGAAGTTCAGGTAAGTGACGTCTGCAGCCCTTCCCTTGTCCACTGATGTAATCACTCTACCATAGAAGGTCACTAGGTTGGTCAGGCAAGACTTGCCTTTGATGAAACTGTGCTGGGCTGTCTCAAATCACTTCCCTGTCCCCCAAGTGCCTTTGTGTAACTCCTGGGAGTATTTCCCCAGGTGCAGAGGGTAGGCTGACAGATTGGATGTTCCCAGGATCCTCCTTTCTATGCTTTTAAAGATGGATACAATGTTTCCCTATTTCTAGTCACCCAGGACTTCACCCAAATGCTATTACTTCAATACGGATGATGGACAAAGGAGGTCTCAGGGCCCTGAGCTGAAGGACCATGACTGCAAGAATGATCAACTCCCAGCTGAACCTGAAATTGTGCAGGATCTGCTATTCCAGCTGGACCTCTACAAATTTATGGGGCCTGATGGGTTCCATCTCAGAATCCTCAAAGAGCTGGCTGATGTCATCACAAAACCTCTTAAAATGATTTTTGAGCGGTCTTAGGAATCCAGAGAGGTCCCAGGTGACCGGAAGCTGGTGAATGTTGTGCAATTTTCAAGAAGAGCAAGAAGGAGGACCCTGGAAACTACAGGCCTGACAGTCTCACTTCAGTGCCTGGTAAAATTATGGAGAAGATTATTCCGGGAAGTATTGAAAAACATCTGAAAGACAACACAGTCATTGGTCACAGCCAGCACAACTTCATAACAGGAAAGTCCTGCTTATCCAACCTGATTTCCTTTTACGTAACATACCTAGTTGATCAAGGGAAGCCAGTTGATGTAATTTTTTGGATTTCAGTAAAGCTTTCAGTACTGTCTCTCACAGGATCCTTCTGGACAAACTCTCCAGCACACAGCTGGATAAACACATCATGAGCAGTTGGCTTGTGAGTTGAGCACAGAGGGTAATAGTGAACAAGGTGACATCAGACTGGTGACCTGTAACTAGTTGGGTTCCACAGGGCTCCATCTTTGGCCCTGTGCTCTTCAACATCTTCATAAATGAATTGGACACAGGACTGGAAGGGATACTGAGCAAGTTTGCAGATGACAAAACACTCAGAGGAGCTGTTGACTCCCTGGAAGGCAGGGAGGCCCTGTAGAGAGACCTCAACAAATTAGAGGACTGGCAATCACCAACCATAAGAAGTTCAACAAGGGGAAGTGCTCGATTCTGCACCTGGGATGGAGCAACTCTGGACATCTGTATAGACTGGGGAATGAGGTGCTGAAAAGCAGTGCTGTGGAAAGGGACCTGGCGGTCCTGGTTGATGGCAAGTTGAATATGAGTCAGCAGTGCCCTGGCAGACAGGAGGGCCAACCGTGTCCTGGGGGGCATCAGGCAAAGCATTGCCAGCCAGTCAAGGTAGGGGATTGTCCCGCTCTGCTCTGCACTGGGGCAGCCTCACCTTGAATATTGTGTGCAGTTTTGGGCATCACAATATAAGAAAGATATTAAGCTCTTAGAGAGTGTCCAAAGGAGGGCAATGAAGATGGTGAAGGGCCTTGAGGGGAAGCCGTATGAAGAGTGGCTGAGGTCACTTGGTGTGTTCAGCCTGGAGAAGAGGAGACTGAGGGGAGACCTCATTGCAGTCACAACTTCCTTGTGAGGGAAAGAGGAGGGGGAGGTGCTGATCTCTTCTCTGTGGTGACCAGGACCCAAGGGAATGGCCTGAAGTTGTGTCAGGGGAGGTTTAGGATATTAGAAAGAGGTTCTTCACCCAGAGAGTGGTTGGGCACTGGAACAGGCTCCCCAGGGATGTGACCACAGCACCAAGCCTGATAAGAGTTCAAGAAGCATTTGGATGATACTCTCAGGGACACAGTGTGACTCTTGGGGATGTTCCTGTGCAGGGCTAAGAGTTGGACTTGATGATCCTTGTGGGTCCCTTCCAACTCAGCATATTCTGGGATTTTGTGATTCTGTGAGTTTTCAAAATGTCATGGAGAGTGGCTAGGCAACTGCATAAGCCAATTGCCTCAGGACTCTGGGATGCATCCCATTTGGTCCCATTGGCTTACGTACATTCAGGTTCCTCAGGTGCTCACAAACCTGATTTTTACTTACAGTGGGAGAAACTTTGCTCCCCCAGTCCCCCACCTGCTGTCTATCCACTCAAGAAGTGTGGGAAGAGAGGTTGCCATTGAAGACTGAGGCAAAAAAGGTGTTGAGTATCTCAGCCTTCTCCTCAACCAGTTTTCCAGTGCCGTTTATCGAAGGGGTATACACCTCTTCTGACCTTTCTCTTCTGGTTAACATGCCTGTAGAAGCCCTTCTTGTTATTCTTTGCATCCCTTGACAGCTTCATTTCTTAGCTTTGCTTTTGCCTTCCTCAACCCATCCCTACACAACTGAATTTCATCTCTGTGAATTTCCCAGGTCACCTGTCCTTGTTTCCACTGTCTGTGCATCTCTTCTTTCCCTTTAGTTTGACCAGCAATTCCGTACTCAGCCATGCTATCTCTTGCCTTCCTTACCCAATTTCTTGCTCCTGAGGATTGCTAGCTCTTGTGCTCTATGAAAGACTTCCCTAAAGATCTGTCAGCTCTGTTCCAGTCTCTTGTCCCTGGGGGCAGTCTTCTAGGGTTGGACAGTCACATCCAGAGAGTAGTGGTCAATGGCTTAGAGTCCCAGTCGACATCAGTGACAAATGGTGTTTCTCAGGAGTCTGTACTGGGACCAGTATTATTTAATATCTTAATTAATGATATAAACAAAGGCATCAAGTGCAACCTCAGCAAATTTGCTGGTGACACCAAGCTGTGTGGTGCAGTTGACACACCTGAAGTTGACACACCTGAATACCATCCAGAGGACCTGGACAAGCTCAAGAAGTGGGCCCATGGGAACCTCAAGTTTAAAAAGATCAAGTGCAAGGTGCTGTGCCTGGGTCTGGGCAACCCCTTGTATCAATACAGGCTGGGGGATGAACAGATCTAGAGCAGATCTGCTGAGAAGGACTTGGGATGCTGGTGGATGAAAGGCTGGACTTGAGCTGGCAACGTGTATTTGCAGCCCAGAAAGCCAATCGTATTCTGGGCTGCATCAAAAGCAGTGTGGTCAGCAGATCTCAAGGGAGTGGATTCTGCCCTTCTACCCCACCTGCAGTGCTGCATCCACCTCCAGCGTCCCCAGCACAGGAAGGACATTGACTTGTTGGAGTGAGTCCAGAGGATGCCACCAAGAAGGAGGGACTACCTCTCCTATGGGGAAAAGCTGAGAGAATTTGAATAGTTCAGTCTAGAATAGAGACGGCTTAGGGGTGACCTAATTGTGGTCTTCCAGTTCCTGAAGAGAGTCCACAAGAGAGCTGGAGAGGAACTATTTACAAGGGCATATAGTGACAGGACAAGGGGGAATGGCTTCAAACTGAAGGAGGGTAGGTTTAGAGTAGAAGAATTTCTACTTTGTATTATATTAGGAAGAACTTTGGTGTGAGGGCGGTGAAGCACTGGAACAGGTTGCCAAGAGAAGTGGGATACCCCATCCCTGGCAGCATTCAAGGCCAGGTCGGATGGCACTCTGAGCAACCTGGTCTAGTGGAAGCTGTCCCTGCTCATGTCAGGGCATTTGGAACTAGACAATCTTTAACATCCCTTCCAACACAGGCTATTCCATGATTCTGTGATATCTGAAAGTTACTCTACTGAAAACACATTTTCTATTGTTCTTCAGCATTGTTTTTCAAAATTAGTATATATGTCAAAATTACTATATAGTAATTACTACTGTTACTGTAACTTACTCTGGCAGCTGAAGCTGTGCAGGTTGGCATAGTGAATCAGAACAGCATGACTAACTCTGTGCAATGACACCTATGAAATGGTTCCCAAGCTAGAAGAAAAATTAGGATCCTGAACAGTTAGATAGAAGTGCATTATTTTCCTGGACATAAAATTTTCCTACTTAATTTCAGCAGGAAAAAATATATTATTTCACATATGTTATTTTACATATTTAATTTACATTCTCATATATACAATTGTATAGAATTACATATGCTATATATTTTATCCTATATACATTGCTATATATTTTATCCTATACACATTGGTATATATTGTATATATGATGTCTTATTTAAGATATCATATAAACATAAACACACAATGCATAATGTTGTTATTTTTGTTTATACTATTGTTCTATATCTTCCCCACTCAGTATTTACTAATTTCCTAACTTCGGGGCATTCAATTTTCTGTTTTTTTCAGTGTTGTTTCTTGTTACAGTTATAACTTTCAGAATTGATCTAGATACCTTTCAGTACAACTTTTGTGGGAATAATGATTTATTTCCAAAGACTTTTGCTGCTAGATGGTTGATTTGATAAACAGCAATTTTGAAAAACAGAAAATAAATAAAGGAAAGGGAGACAGTGAATAACAAGAGATAAAAACTTAGGAAAAGTATTCTGTGTATATCTGACAGTGAAATAGAAAAAACCAGTAAACTTTTGAGAACAAAAAGGAAGCCAGTGGTAGAGAAATGAGGAAAAAAAGTCCAGTGAACAAGTACTGTTTTGCATTCAGGCTTCACTACATGGACTTGGAGCTCCTAAGTCTACTAAAAGGAATGCTAATCCATGGAATGGAGGGCATGGCTCGCTATTGCAAGAAGAAAAGAACTATTGGCTTATGTCCAAGTAAAAAGTATTTTGTACTTACCTCTTGGACAACTTTTCTTTTTCTTTTCAGGTTTTCCAAAGCATATCTCCTTACCACTGCTTCAGTTTTCGCTGCCAGTTCCATGTTTCAAGAGGTTTTGTACAATTGGTTATTATCAGAAAAACTCCTGTTTTATCTTCAGACCAAGTGTCATATTTCATACCTCTTTGGGTTTGTTGCTGTGAAAACAATGACACTTCTGTTTTTAACTTGGTGTGCCTTTGGGTTGCCCTGAGGCAGTCATTCAGATTCTGTAGTTTGTTTTACACATTTTGTGTGTGTTGAATGGTCAGTCCTGTTACAGTATAATGCAAATAATAAATAACACTGGGAACTTGTCCTATGCAATCATGAGCTTCCAATAAAAATATGATAAAGTTGTCTGATGACAGAATGCAATAACTATTTCCTCCATGCCTTAAGCAGAAGATTAATGGGCTCTACCAATACATCTTTGCTTGATGAACCTTGCCCCCCAGCAACAAAGGGCCCCCTCAGGCTTCTGGACAAAAGGTACACAAAACTGTCCTACCAGCAGCTCTTAAAACCTGACAAATAGTTGTAGAAATTTAGGGTTTGTCCTTTTTGCACTTAGCACTCCACCCCACTGGCATTCTGCAGAACAGAGGAAAATTGTTAGCTATTTAGTCTTGGAATCAGGCAGCTATTGGAAGCAGACTTTAAAAGACTAGAAAGGGAAGTTAAAAAAAAAAAAGGACAAAATGTGAAGTTGCTCCTTTAACACATCCTTACTAGGCAGTAAGGGATGATATGGAAGAATATTAATCAAGTAGGATACCTTCTAGAAATCCCCATAAAGCAAAGAGAAAATATCTGCTGCCCACCCACTGGGCACAAGGGTAAAGTGCACAGCCCTTTTTTTATCTCCCTGATGCCTCTCTAATGTTGGCTGTGGTGTGAGACTGTCATGTTAAATCAGATGAAAAAAAATTAGTATACATTAAACAAAAACGCAAACAAAATCCAAAGAGCATATGGTCTAGAAAGAAAAAGGAAGGAAATAGCGAGAACAAAAACTACTTTAACAAATTCAGCAAAATAATAGATGGTGAAGATAACATCATTTGCTAAGTGACAGAATTAGGTCTGTTTTAGGACTGTTCTCTACATCAGATACATCTGGTATCTCACCAAATCACTTTATGTTTTTACAGCTCTAAAACAAAGGGAAATGCCTCTCACTGTAGAAGGAAGTAGTGATTATAGTTGCAAAAACAATATATACGATATATTACAAAAGAAATGAGATCTCTAGCCAAAGAGAAAACAAAACTACAGCAAAAATTATTTTGTATCTGGGGTGTTCTTGCTTCTCATTGGGTCCTGCAGAGTCTCTGGGTGATTGGCCACCCTGGCCAGCCGGTGCTGCAGGACTGCCGCCCTTTGGTAGGCAGAAGGGCAGTGCCCCTTTCCAGCTCATTGCCAAGGGCTCCAGCCTTTTTCCACCAGCCAGGGCACAACCTGCAGTTTGTACACCAATCTGGGTGTGTTTTGCAACAAATTTGTAGGCTGTGAAAGGTCTGCACATGACAGATCCTGAGATGCAAGATAAGACATCACTGCAGATACTACATAAAGCCTGCGTCTAGATCATATACAATGATTCATACATGCAGAGCAGTCTTGACATGTCCTCAGTACCCAACTGTTTTGGCAGATCTGCGTCATGTCCACCAAAATTCAATTAAAAAATAAAAGAAAGAGGAAAACACTTTAGAGAAGTAAACAGAATGCAAAGCAAATTCACTGAATTAACTACTAAGGAAAAGGACACTCAGCATTATTTTTCAAAGAAAATCAAGTTTGGTAGGGAGCAACTTGGAGCAGTTTCTATGCAATATTATGAACTTCAGTTCTGGAGATGTCTTTTTCATTAAGTAGCCTGAACAGCAAATCTTTAGAAGTAAAGGTTCTTGAGAATATATGAAATTTATTTTGCTTGAGTTTAGTCTGTGGCACTGAGAGGTATGACAAGCACCAGAAATATTGTTTAATACAGTCACAAAAACACTAGTTTTGCCATTTGGCTGATTGTGGACCCGTGTCTCGTCTTTTACATTCAATTCACAAAATGTCAGAGTGAAATAATTTGCACGGATGGTGATCTGAGACTTACTGAAATAAGTCTTGTTCCAGTACACTCGATAGCACTTAAGGTGCTTCAGTTGCTTATGATACCAGTCAAAGACAGCATGTAACATTGCATCTGCGTAAACACAGTGTCCTCACAATGTTCTAGGGGCCCATCTAATTTCTCTGGAAAACTCTCTGGAGTTTGTTCAACTTTAGAGTTCAAATCCTGGTCCCTACAAGCAGACTAGAGACATAACTTTTTAAATAACCAAGTCACTCTTAGTCATCAATCTACGGTAATAATTTTTTTTAATTAGCTGGTGTCCCTACACATGAATGAGCTGCAAATTCTAGGATCTGCACTTGGACTCCATTTTGAGCATTTTCAGTTATTTTGCCTTAAATGTTGCACTGTGTAATGCACTGCACTGAATGTTAATGGTTCTCTGATGTGAAGTCTCCTCTATGTAAACTAACCTAAGAAACTAAAGAGAAACGTAACTGTGAAAGAGGAATTTGTTCATCCTCTCGGACTGCTCGGGCCAGTTGAGTGCGGTTACTGCTGTACATCAGCACAGCTGTTTCCCTACCGATACAGCTCCTTACCCGCATGCCTTGCTCACAGTAAAGCTAAGCAGCATGTATAAAACATACTGAAGGACAGCCTGTCTGCTTTCTTCCAGCACTGCACTCAAAGCTTTTTTATCTTTTGTTACCACAGTTAGCTCGCGTTCAGCCGTAGAGTTTCCACCGAACTCCCCCGCCGTTGCCATAGCCGGGTGCGGCCATTTTGCACGCGGGCGGTCGGGCGGAGGAGCAGTGGCCAATGGAGTGTCAGCTTCTCGTGCCACGTGGCGGCGCGCGGCGGCGGTTGGAGCGTGGGGCGGGCGCGCGGCCGCGGTAACGGCGCGGGCGGAGGCCGTAACGGGGCGGTGACAGCGGCGCAGGGGAGGCCGGGCGCGCAGTCCGCGGAGGGGCAGCGGAAGAAGCGGGCGGGGGCCCGGGGGGCGAGCGCGGAGCCCGCGGAGGTGGCTGAAGTCGGTTCCGGGAAGGGGGGACCGTCGGGGCGGGGGGCGCGGGGTTGCGGGTGCGGGAGCGACCGGGTGTCGCTGCTGCCGGCCGCCTCTCGCGTGCCCCTGCGGGTGGCGGCGGACAGCGCAGCCCCGGTTGTTGCGGGTTCAGTGATGGACGGTCTGAAGGAGTTCTCAGAAGCCGTGTCGATACTGAGTGGGTGAAACACTAAAAAGCTCCTCCTTTATGCAGTTAAAACCACGGTTGTCTATTTGCGTGTGTTAGCTGGATGCTTCATTACATACTTAGACACGGTGGGGCAGCAGGTCAAATACAATGAGCGCAGTCCCAGCAGACCACCAGGCCATGGTTAGCAAGGCAAGTAAGCATACGATCAGCGCCCAGTTAAGCTTCCCGCCTGTGTCCTGCAGTTCGGGATGTGGGACATGGCCAAGGCTTCTGCAGGCAGTGAACACCTGGTGTGCTGTTTGTTTGCTCCTCTATACATTCGCCCAGCTCATTATTTTAATCGCTCCAAAGTCATAGCCTCCTGGAGACTCTTAGCATGGAATTGGATTTTTCAGTTTTATTTGTGTTTCTTTTTGTTTGTCACCAGCTAGTATCATCTGATGTTTTCTGGCATCTGTATTGAAAGATAAGTAAATAATTGTTTTTTTTCTGTACACTGTCAGAGCCCGTCAAGATACTCTAAGGTTGTGTCAGATGCACTGACTTCACTGCAGAAGAGTTCTAGCTTTCAGAGCTGTTTTTCATTTGGAAGGTGGTGTGGGTATGATTAGTTTGGCCCTTTTCCTCTCTACCTGCAAGTGGGTTTAGCTCCGAGTTCTAGGGCTCGTGTCTTGTTTCTTTACTTAAGTTAGAGGTGTGGTGTTCAGGTATTGCAATGAAAGCCACTGTGAAAGAGTATTGCTTAAGCTCGAGATAAAAGGCTAATATTTTGTGTATCGACCAGAAGCCATTGGTGCCTTAAAGCTGATGACCACTTTCTGAAGCTGAACTGTTGGACTATAATTTAATAATTTCTGTTCCTGTGGCCACAGTTTAATCATTGAATGCTGGTAAATCATAGCTAAAATAAAATAAATAAAAGGGTGTGGAGGAACTGTATTATTATAGTAATATTAACTGTATTATATATAACTATTATTTATTATTAGAGTTTGTATCTTATGACATTTTTAGTCATTTGGATACTAAAAAAATATAATTTTTTTTCTAATTATAATCTTAGAAATGGCTGTCCTTACATGCTTGTATCTGTCCAGTAATTCTTGTCCTAATTTGACATACAGAATTTTTCAGAAGATTGCTTGAAGCTTTCTAGTCTGTAGCAGTAAGAAAAAATGTTTGCAATATGAAAAATGTTTGATATCCTGTATGGAATACTTAATTCTATCTTGATCTTAAACAAATGTATCTTCTGTGTATACTGACAAATACTGCTATTGAGACAGTGGAATTACTTAACCCTTAATAGCAGTATTTAGAGGTTCTACTTGGAAGTTAGTACTGTTTTGCTACATGGTTACTAATGTATAACAAAAACTTATGCCTTAAAAGTGCTTTCTGAAATTTACTGGGATACATATATAAGATATGCAATAGCAAAAAAATTTAGGAAAACACATTTTTATTTTGTATTCTGAGGGGAATTTAGACTTTTGGCTGAATTCGCAAAGAAGTTCTGTTTCCCAACTATTTCTGTATGTTTCCCTTTATGGTGGGCCAGGGAGTATCCAAGGCTTTTGTGAGTCTGCAGACCCTGACCCTACAAAATTAAATTTTAAGAGGAAAACAAGATCTTTACAACAGTTAGTGCTTGAAGATCAGGCCTTTTGTGTTCTGGATATACCTGTTTGTGTGGGGAGAATAAATATGTGAGTTTGTTGGTTTGGGGTTTTTTTTCAGCCCCTTATTAATTCAGCTGTACTTAAGCAAGTAGTCAGCATCATAAGACGTCAGTTTTTTAGCTGCCACATTAAGGATGTGTAAATGCTATACAATGTATAGGAACATTTCCATGTTTTGGGTATGCATATTGAATTGACACAGTGTTGCAAAATCAGTTATACATTGAAAAAATTTTATATCTTTTCCCCCTTTTATTTTACAGAGAAATTTATCACGTAAAAGAAATGATTGAGTCAGTCAAATTAAGAAGGCAGTGCATGCTGGATTTCTACTCACATTATGAACATCTTTGTGAACTTCAAGGCTCTGTCCCACTGAAAGCTGTGAAGGCTAACCTCACTCAAAATGCTATTGATCTAATTGTAGATCACATCAAAGCTACTGACTGGGCACCACTTCTGAATGCTATCAGGCATAATAAGACTCTTACTTCTATCGGAATAAGAAGTTTACATCAACATGGTCTTGAAGAATCAGGTCTGTAGTGATGGCTATTAAATATTTTGATGTATGCCTGTTGCAATTTGTTGCATAAAACTTCTGTATGATTGAATACATGGGGGGAGGAATTGTATTGCCTAAGGAATTATTTCTATTTAAGAAAATATGCAAAGAAAAGCAAGGTGTGATTGGGATTGCTTTTAAGCCAGTAGAGACTTGATTTTACTGATATGTAATTTTTGTTGTTTACTAGGTGTTGAAAGATATAAAACTTACTTTAGAAGGAGAACTCCAGCAACTCTGTCAAAAGACTTAACTGGCCAACTATGCAAAGCTGTGAAAGGCTGTCTTAGTATATCAGATGTACTAAAAAATTTGGAACTGCAGGGTTTGCTTCTGAGGGAAAGAGATCTAACACTTTTAACAAAGGTGAGAATATATTAATATACAAATAGATGGCAAATATGCCCAGAATAAAGAATAGTAGCAACTAAATTTTTAAGTATTTGTCACAGACAGGGATGGTTTTCGTCTAAGTTATATATGTGTTATGCATAATACAAATGATTCTGTTGAGATATTTACTATAACCTAGTTTTTCCAAATGTTTCAAAATCACATTCATCAAGCCTTAGTGGAAAGATCTTAGCAACATCTCTGGTATGTGTTTGAGGCATATAATGTATGCTTTTGACTGAAATTACTGTGCATGTACATGATAGAAGGAAAGTTGTGGGACACCAAGGAAATAAAAACTGATCTTCAAGATGTATTAGTGGAACACTTGAACTTGCTAGTGAGTGGCTTCTAGGAAAGGAAGTTCCTCTTGTTCTAAAGAAATTAACCAGCTTTAACTGAACTTAAAGGTTTGTGTGTTTTGACCTTCCTCTGAACCCCTAGAGTTTCTTGTAGGGAGCACAGAATTTGTGCGGTTTAGGTGACTTGGTCTTTTCTCTTTTTTTGCCTTTAAAGCCAGTTGACAATATTGTTTTATTCTTAAGGGCTTGGCCACAGCTTCATCTCTGGAAAGTGTCTCTTTAGCCCACTGTCCAATTGGAGATGGAGGGTTGGAAAGTAAGTTCAGAATCAAAAATGTGTAAATATACTTTTCTCTTTTTTTTCAGTTTCCAAATAGGTCAGCAAGTTTTTCAGTATTTCCATTCCTGTTTTAAATTTGTCTATAATGATTAAAATAACAATCCTTCCTTTATTCTACATGATTCAACAACTTCTAAAGACTTGAATTTTTTCTCTTGATGCTAGTAAATAGCCATACTACTTTATAATGACGTTTATACTTGTATTTAAAACAGTATTTATATTTCTTAACTCTTTCCTGAGTTTACGTAAGTAAACTGAAATAAAATATGTTCTAGGTTGTTCAAATACTCTTTTCTAAACATTTGCGTTAGAAATGTATAAACCTAGAAGACTTTATTTAAAATATACTTCTTACGTAACACTATTTCTTTGTCAAAGCTTTTGCCTGTTAAAGCTGATTTAACCTCTTAATAGGGCAGTGAAAAACTGTGTTTTGATAATCTGGAAGTTGTGTGTGTAGATAACATGCATTCTTTTTTGTTCTTCAGCAATCTGTCAGAGTATAAAGAATGCAGCTACTATCAGATCTGTAAACTTCACGGCATGTAGCCTGACATGGCGAGGGGCTGAACATATAGCAAATGTATTAAAGGTAATTTAATAACTTTCTTAGAACAAGATGCTCACAAGAACTTAATATATTTGATTTTTTACTTTTACTTTCAAGCTCTAAATCCATTAAAGCACTTTGCGAGGAGCATATGTGAGTACTGAAGTGTATAGTCCTTCTGAAAGCTGTGACTTTATATGCCAAAAGTAGCTTAGTTTTCTAATGTGGGATTTAAATATTTCAAGTATTCTTAAGCACTGGGTAAAAATAATTGATTTTACAGTTTAGAAGCTACTGATTAACTGGTAAGTGTGTGACTAGTGCAATATTCTAATTAATGTTAACAGTGGTTTTTGTGAAAACACAGAATTTTGTAGTATGTATGCATTTCCTGTTCAATGTGTTGAAAGTATCTGTCTGCCAAAAGAAGGTAAAAAGATATTTTGTTGCAAAGTTTAATGATTTGTTTTGCAAACTGGGTAATCTGAACAAACATGAGTTAATTGTAAGGTTTAAAAATTACTTGCATTTCTTGAACTCCAAAACAGTATAACTGTTTTTCTTTATATCAGCACTTAAGCCATTGAGCATGAATTACAAAGAACGATAACTTGTGATCTTTTCATCAATAATGGCCTTGGCTTTGCATTTGTTAACAGTTTCTTTGTTTGCAAAGCACCAGGCAATGAGAAGACATGGTGAAGCTTGGGCTGAAAGCCTGCGTTACAGGCGACCTGATCTCGAATATATGACAGGCTTGAGACGGGTTACTTTGAACTGCAACATGCTTGTTGGAGATAGAGGAGCAAGTGCCTTTGCAGACTGTCTAGGAGAGGACCTTTGGCTGAAAGGTATTGCAAAATAGACTCTTAAGATATGGTAGTGGTAGGCAGAAAACTTAAAATTGTCAGTTATAACAATTGCCGCCAGAAAAGTAAGTCACTATGCAGTTGGGGAAGAATACTCTTTTTTTCAAAAGAAATTTCTCTTTCTCTTTTGAATTGCCAAAGTATCCAAATACTTTTGTGTCATCTAGTATTGTTCTCTAGTATTTTGGAGAATTAATTTGTTCTACATTGTATCTGTACAAAATTACTAAAAGTGGTGGTGTAAATCATAGCATTCTGTACATGGAATCAAATACCTGTTGAAACTGTTTTATAGTTTGAGGCATGTTTAAGATAAGATGCGTACTGATGGAAGAGGATCAGGTTAGAGAATACTTAAACAAACTGGACAAACAGTTGTCCATAAGTCCTAATGGGATGCATCCACAAGTGCTGAGGGAGCTGGCTGATATCATTTTGAGACCACTCTCAATAATCCTTGGAAGAGCATGGTGATTGGGAGGACAGGTGCATAAGCACTGGAGGATAGCTAATGTCACCCTTATCTTTGAGAAGTCTGGGAAGAAGGACTCAGGAAACTAAAGGCCAGTCAGCCTTACTTGGATCCCTGGGAAGGCAGGGTTGGGATGCCATCTAGAGGGACCTCAGCAGGCTGGAAGAGATGCTGATGGGAACCTCACAGATTTTAAGGAAAGAAAGTGCCAAGTCCTGTACCTAGGCTAGAATAATCCCATGCACCAGAACATGCTGGGGTCTGTATGACTGAAAAGCAGCTTTGTAGAAAGGGTCCTGCAGATCCTGGTGGACCACAGGCTGTCCATGAGCCAGCAAAGTGCCTTCATGGCAAAGAAGGCCAATGGTATCCCAGAGTAAAATAGGGAAAGGCTTTTGAGCAGGTTGAGGGAGGTGATTCTTCCTTTTAACAAAAGTGAGGCCACACATGGATTCCCCAATACAGGAGAGAACTGGAGCTACAGAAGAGAGTCCAGTGAAGGACCACTAAGATGATGAAGGGGCTAGAGCAACTCTCATTGCAGAACAGGCTGAGGAAGCTGGGCCTGTTTGGCTTGGAGAAAAGATGACTCAGAGTTAGGGTCTTACAAGGCATACAAACATTTGAAGGGAGGCTATAGAGGAGTTGGAAATACTCTTTCTGGTGGTACTTGGTGACAAGGCAAGAGGAAGTGGGTACAGATTAAAACACAGGAGGTTTCTCCTGAAGGTCAGGAAACTTTCTCACTGCAAGGATGTCCGAACACTGGCACATGTTGCCCGGAGCGGTTGTAAAGTGGTTTATATTACTTCCTTTGCAGTTGTTAACAGTTATTTAAGTTGATCTAAAATACCAATTTAAATTTTTAGTTTTCTTCTTTTAAAGTATTACTCCTGTTTTACACATGGCTGTTATCATGTCCTTGTTTCTTATCCTTCAAGTTCTATGAAATGGAGATTTTCAGCAGGTGTGGGTTAATTTTTTTAGATATTGACTATTAAATTAAATTATTAACTAAATATCATTAGTGCAATGAATTTTTTTTTTTTTACCTCCTTAAACATTTCAGCACTTGATTTGCAGCAGTGTGGAATATCCAATGAGGGAGCAAGATCATTATTAGATGCTCTTCAAACTAATACAACATTAGTGGTACTTGACATAAGAAAAAATCCATTAATAGGTATGTATCTGTGTCTGCCTTTGTCTTGTTTGTGTGGTGGTGTTTTTTTTTTTCTTCTTCCATAAATATATGTGGAAAGGTAAACTGTTTTTAAGAAATAAAACCATGCCACAGTAATTTGCTAAACATTTTAAAATTAGGGAAACAAGAAGGGTAGCTAATGTATACTGCTTATTCAATGATCTCTTTGTTCACATAAAGAGTTGTCTCATACAAAGAATTCTTAGTCATGTATTTTAATTCATTCTAGGTCATGTTCTGATGAAAAACATTATTGAAAGAGTTCTTAAGAACGGAAATATTGCTAATTCAGAGGTATGTTTTACAGATTTTGGAATGAATTTGGGGTTTTCTTTGCAGCTGCCATTGCATTTTTTTTTTTTTAAGGAGAACTTTGTTCAAAATGAATCTAAAGCAGCTATTCTAGTTATAAACAGAAGTTTGACTTTTAGGCAGTTTAAAAACCAACAAACCCCACTATGTAGGGAAAAACATAAAAACACTATCAGCAACATGATATTGAATTGGGCTTTTGTATGGTTTCTCATGGAATTTAAGGTGTAACATGTAAAAAAACCAGAATATACATTTAATGAAAAGAAAAATGGAAATGTGTGTGTACATGGGCATTACTGTAGAACGTTAAATAAATATTGCTGTCGGAGGGCTTTCTACTACATGTGTTCTTATTAACATGGTAATAATAAATTTTCATTAAAAGTAAAGGAAACTGCAATTTAAAATTCAAAACTTAATTTATTTTGAAACTTACTTCTAATTTATAAAATTAAGATTTTTTTTTTTAAGTTACTCAAGACTGTCCTTTCCAATGCAAAACATCTAAGAAAACAGTGTTCAGTTAAAGTGCAGTACGCCCTTTCATCTTTATCTAGCAGTCCACAGAGAGTTCACAGTAATGTGCATAAACTGAATATCTGGAGTATTTATTATTAGATACACTATTCAAATACAAAGAAACCTGATTCAGCTCCCAAAGGAGACAGGAAAGAAACGAGTGCTCTTTATTTCACAGAACTGCAGCTATCCCAGTTCTTGTTCTGGAACTTATTATTCTTTTCAGTTTGAAAAGACTTAAAAGTCAGGGCTGTGGATCTGTAGGGAGTATTTAATGATCTGAGAATTTGTGTGTAAAATTCCTTGAGGATTAGTATAGTTCCCTACTTCAATCTCTAGAAGACTTCTTTTGAGAAATTGACCCTGGTTGTGAAGCTCTGTCTTCTTGGCAGATGCAATCAATACTTGCAAAATGTTGCAGGGATCACGTGGAAATAGCATCTCTGTGGAAAGTCAAACCATGAAAAGAAGCAACTCTGGGGAATCTCCCTTATACTAAGAGATAACTCGACTCAAGACATTAGTTTTATATTTTGCCACTTAGTGCAGTATCTAAACTTTTACTGGCAATTCTTCATACTTCATTAACAACGTGAATGAAGAAGTACTGACCAGCAGTCAGTACTTGATAAGCAGCTTATTATTCCACCAGTCCCAGCAGTCCTTCCATCCTCTTTTGTGTAAAAACTGGTTGTTTCTCTTTGTTTTTCAATAGCATGTAGGTGATTGCCTTTTGGGTTGGATTTTCAGGTTTGCAAGAAGAGTTAGTTCCCTGCTGCTAATTTATGCCTTTAAATTTGATGGGCAGCTAAAACAAAAGAAAGTTGTATTATTTTAGCAGCACTGTGTAGCAGTATATCACCATTGGCCAATCAGAGCTCAAATCAGTCCAACAGTTTAATTACCTTGGTAGCCTCATCTCCTCAGATGGTAAGATCGACGGGAGATAGACAACAGGTTAGCTAAGGCATATAGTGCATTTGGAAAACTCCACAAAAGAGTATGGTGTAATAAACACTTGTAGAAAAACACCAAGATCAGTGTTTACAGAGCCATAGTGTTGTCTACTCTCTTATACGGTTCCGAATCATGGGTCATCTACCGCCACCACCTGCGTCTCCCAGAACGCTTCCATCAACGCTGCCTCTGTACAATCCTTAACATCAGCTGGTCAGATTATGTGACCAATACGTCTGTACTAGAGCAAGCAGCTGTCACAAGTATTGAGGCCATGTTACTGAGAACGCAGCTGCGATGGGCCGGGCACATCTCAAGGATGAAGGACCACTGCCTCCCTAAGATCCTGCTCTATGGTGAACTTGCCACCGGCTGCCGCGTGAGAGGAGCCCCGAAGAAAAGATACAAGGACTCCCTGAAACAACATCTCAGCCTTGGCCTTATTGATCACCATAACTGGTCTACTCTGGCCTCAAATCGGGAGGGCTGGAGACACACCATCTATAACGCAGATGTCTCCTTCGAGAACACACACAGGATCACTCTCGAGGAAAAAAGGCAACGCAGAAAGAACCGTGCCTTGCATAATACACCATCTAAGGAGTCTTTCTGCTGTGCCTTTTGCAATCGGATATGTCTGTCACGTATTGGCCTCATAAGCCACCAGCGTGCCTGTAGCAAATGTGGATAGAGCCTTCCCAAATCTTCGTTTGCGAAGCCTAGCCATGATGATGTAGCAGTATAATGAACTGTAATTGTGGATATGACTGAGTGTAATAGGTGGTGAAAGTTTATGGAGTTTCTGAGAGACTGAATAGGTTAAAGGAGAAAGCCATTGAAAGTGTGTATCAGGTTTGAGTGACCAGGTTTTGGTTTGGTAGGAGTGGCTTTTGTGAGAAGCTGCTAGAAGCTTCCTCCATGTCTGGTAGAGCCAGTGCCAGACATGACGGACCTGCTGCTGGCCAAGGCCGAGCCAATCAGGAATGACAGTAATGCCTCTGTACTAATGTATTTAGAAAAGAGAAAAAAAAGTTGTGTGGCAGATGAAAATTGCATCCAGAGAAGAGCAGAGTGAGAACATGTGAAGAACTCTGCAGACACCAAGGTCAGTGGAGAAGGAGTGGGAGGAGGTGCTCCAGGCAGCAGAGCTGAGGTTCCCCTGCAGCCTGTGGTGCAACCCATGGATGTGAAGAACAGGGATGCATAGATCCACAAGCAGCCAGTGGAGGAGACCCACACTGGAGCAGGTGGATGCCTGAAGGAGCCTGTGACCCTGTGGGGGGCCTGTATTGAAGCAGGGTCCTGGCAGGGACCTGCTGACCCATGGGAAGAGGAGCCCATGCTGGAGCAGGTTTTCCTGGTAGGACTTGTGGGTGGCCCTGTGGGGGACCCACACTGGATCAGCCTGTGCCTGAAGGACTGCACCCTGTGGAAAAATGACCCACACTGAAGCAGTTTGTGAAGAATTGTTACCTGTGGGACGGACTCAGGCTGGAGAAGTTCATGAAGGACTGTCTCCCATGGGAGCGGCCCTACAGAGAGCAGGGGAAGGACTCCCCTCCCTGAGCGGCAGCAGAAAACAACCTATGATGAACTGACCATAACCCCTATTCCCCATCTCCCTGTGCCACTGCAGAGGGAGGAGGTAGAACTTGAGAAGGAAGGAGGGGTGGGGGGAAGGTGTTTTTAAGATTTATTTTACTTCTTATTCACCTCCTCTGATTCCGTTAGTAATCAATTTAATTAATATCCCCGCTTTCAAGTGTTTTGCCTGTGATGGTGGTCAGTGAGTGATCTCTCCCGGTTCTTATCTCAATTCATGAATCCTTTGTTATATTTTCTGTCTTCTGTCCAGTTGAAGAGTGAGAGAGCGGCTTTAGTGGGTACCTGGTGTCCAGCCAGGGTCAACTCGCTACAAGGCGTCTATAAAACAAGCTGCTTTCAAAACATAGTCTTAATATTTTGCTGCCTTTATACTTGGATGCAACAAAAGCAGCAGGCACTTAGATAAGAAAGAGGTTACTGGTCTAGATGAACTTTAGGGTTAACCTAGTAAAGCTGCCCTTTTTTGTGTCTTGTAAAACAGAATTAAGATGCTCTTAGATGTTTACAATTTCATTTTATTCTTTGTTTGTTTTTAGTTTAAAAAGAACAATTCATTGTCTTGAGGAGCTAGATGCAGCTGTAGACCCTGCAGAACTTACCCAAGGATTATTTGAGTCCCATGTGAAAAAAAAAAAGTTTTTCTTGCCAATGATAAATTTGGACTAAATTTGGTTGGTTAGAGCACAGTAATGGCATTTTAATCTTCCTATGCTTTAGATGGGAATAACTTTGCCATACAATTCCTCCTACTCTGATGTGGTGTTTAAAGCTGAGAAAAACTTTGTGTTAATGTCATCTATATTTCCTTCAACAGCTGCTTAGCAGTAGACCTTGTATTAGGGATGCACATTGAAAAACAACTGCAGTGTAACTTAAGAGTCTCTACCAGAAGTAGTGAAACTTTTTATCAGGGCAAAGGGAAGCTTTAAGAATAGAGCTATTGCTGTAAGGAAATGAAGTTTTGGTACCACTGTGGTCTTTGATCATCACTGTGTCTTAATTTTAGTTTGGGGGCTTTTACTTTGTAAGGATGAATTTTCTTTACAAGGCAGTGAAAATACAACGTCGTATTTTTTGAAATACTGATATTATTGGTAATGCAAAATTGTGCTAGGGAAGCTTTTATTACTCTGGAGAACTTTGGCCTGAGCCAGCCATTCCTATCAAGCCAGTTTTCTGAGAATGAAATGCAGAAGCCAAACTTGTCTCTTTGTAGGGTTGATGCTGTGGGTTTTTGCTATAAAAGAAGTGTTTTGCTCAGGAGATAGGAAAATATCAGATGGGATATTATAGTTTTGGGAACGCTTTCTGATAATGTAGCACTCAGACTTGCATCAAATCTATGTTTGAATTTGGGCTTTGTGGGACTTCTGGTATTTTTCCTAATTTTACAGTTTATTAAGTTTTCTGTAAGTACCAGAAAAGTATATATGACAAAACCCTCTCCTATTTTAAATAAGTACCTCTTTAGCTATCAGTTACTAAACTGATTTATCTTTCTTTAAAAAAAAATTCCAGTATAAGTGGCTGACATCTCCATCTTCCAAAGATGCTTTGAAAAATAGACCAAAGAAAAGAACTATTGTCCTAGGAAGTGGTCGAAAAGGAAAAGCTACTATTCGTATTGGTAATACCGTCTTTATTTTCTCTGACTACAGTAAATTTTGTCAACAAAATTAATATTTAAGAGCTTTAATTGTAAAATATAGAATGTTAGTGTTTTACAGAACACTTGTCTCCAAAAAAATTCAATTTATTATTAATTCAGTAGTGCATCTTCTATCATCACTGGTATTTATAGGAAACTTGCTTTTGTTTTTAGTGCTGCTAGATAGTGGGTGGAAAAATGGTAGGACATGCTGACTTAAATATGTGGAAGAATTGCATGTATTTATTCTGAGTGCATCCTCTCCACAAGCTTTCACTTCTGCAAAGCTTGGCTGTAGTAAGTTGCCTAGTTCTTCTGCTGTTGTAACCTTTCTGTAGCAAGCTGTCCTCTGCCAGAACAAACAAACATGCATTTTTTACTGATGTACAAAATGTTCTAAGATATTTTTTTAAACTTCATGTAAACCTATTATAAATACTATGTTTAAAATAAGATAGGTATCTTGAATATTTATAATTTAGTACTGATAGCTGCAATACGCTTTTTCAGTAAGCTACTAAAAATTTCAGTGTAATACATTTGACTGTCTCTCATCTTTGCTCTAGTTATCTGGAAACAGAGAGGTAAGCATAAATCAAATTGAAGTCTTTGTACAAATAAACTGTGGTGATCAGGGTGGTGGAAGAAGAAAATGCTTGACATATATAGTTGTGGTGGTGTGGGTAGGGTTTTTTTGGTGTGGGGTTTTTTGGTTTTCGTTTGTTTTTTTTCCTTCCTCTTTCTTTTTGTTTTTTGGTGTGTTTTGGGAGAGAGGGAATCAGGAGGTGAAATCTATCTTGTTTGCTATTTTGAGATGGAATTGAAATTTTGAATCCCCTTACCATAATTACACATGTCCATACCATTACAAAATCAGTTGTTTTATTGATCTCAGAGAAATAATAACCCTAATTCTTGCTAGTTTAACTGTATGAAATATTAGGTGAACAAATTAAGTTTTCTGGACTTGTTAGTTTCTGACTTAGAGCAACCTGAGTTAAGAGTGATCATCCACATTAGGTTTCTTTTCTGAATCTACTTCAATAGTATATGATTTAAACAAAAACAAAAGACTGGACTGGTGAACATGACTTTTTTCATTACTAGTTCTCTTAAGTGAAGAGATTGCCAGTATTAAGTACAAGCAATCTACGAGTGCCAGCTTTATTTTTAAGCATTTTGCCCACAAATAAACCAATGTTCTTCACACTCAAGCCACTAGAGGGCAGTTTGAAGCACATAGATAGCTTTATTGTCTACATGGATTGTCTCCCATGTGAGCCAATGGAATTAGGTATCTGAAATTAGTAATGTTCATAAACCTTTTTAGCTACAAAATTTTACTTCCTTTTTGAATAACAGCTTGTCTTAGCTGCATCAACCTAATGTAGCAGTTAAGTACACTGGCTTAAAATTGCAAGTTTTTGGACACTTTAGCGTAGTTAGACTGAATGGCAGATTTCCTACTTATTATTAATAATAGTTATTATATTAATAGTCCCTGTTATTACACAGGAAGTGTTACTTAGGAAGAGTATGCTGTGAATTTGTATGTAAATAATTAGGTATAATGAATTCTCTTTTCTTCTAATCTTGCTGTTCAATACAGGACTATTGTCTAAAAAATCAGTAAGTCCTGGGAAAAAAATTACATCTGTCAAAGAGAGTTACTCACCAAAACCACTACCACCAGGCACAAAAGGCTTCCTTCCTTGGCGGACTGCAGAACGTGCAAAGAGATGCAGGTGAGGTTTTCATAGTACAAGGGAAAATAATAAAGCATAAAAACAGCATGATAAATATAATAGAGAACAGTGTTAGTCTTTTTAAAATATTATTTGAAAGTTACACATATAATTTCATATTGCATCCATAATTTTTTCTGTTCATATAAATTTTAGGGATTTTACATAAATTCTGTTCTAGTAAGTAGTTAAAATACAAAAATAAATGATGGCCTTAGGAATATTCAGATGTAGAAAAAAACCCCAGCAGAACCAAGCCTACCTTGCCTGCTTATTCTTTTGTTAATAATAATTTATCAGATGTATCATAGCTGAAGGTGCAAGTTAGTGTTGTAAACTTGTAGTATAGTTGATTTGGCATTTGATGCCTAGGTATTTTTTCCACCTCTTCTTTCTGCTTCATTTCCCCCAATACAGGCCTAATTATTGTGATCATCTAAGTCCAGTGACTTAAAATAAAACTAAAAAAAGCTATGTATGGAAGCTCTCTTTTGAAACAGCTTTTGTTTGGGTTTGTTTGGGTTTCTTTTAAATCTATACCCTAGACTTTGGCCTTGCAAAATGGAGGCTGTATAACTATTTAAACAAAAAAAATTCCTTAATGCTCTATCATAACTGTAGTTATTAAACTTATTTTTTAAAATCCTGAGCACCAAATTCTCCTCTTGACTTTAGTTGAAAATAATTAACTAAGCAAGATGCCTACTGGAGATATTAATGTTAGCATCTGGTAATGTTGCTCTAAATCATGATTAGTTAGGGGGTGATAATAGAACAAAGTGAGGATCTAATGAGGATTAAAGGGATACAGTGCAGTGTCTAATGCTATTTTTATTCTTGTGCTTCACCTGCCCTAGAATCCTGTGTTTGGAAGTGAATGTAGCAATGGTGACATTACAAACTTACTTTCTCAGAAATGTTTTGTTGTTTTTTTTCCTAACTGTAGAGGTGGGGCTCTTGATCGTACTGGAGAATTGCCAGTGGAGATTCAGGTACGGTTTCTCTTATAGTGGTTTCTTTAGTAGGTGAATGCCGAAAAAAGATGAAAATGTTCTTTCTCAACAGAATTTATTGTCTAAAAGTTAAGACTGGAACATACTTTTAAAGATAATCTCTCATGGAAGTGCAAAAAAATAGTTTACATCAGCATTTGGTTGAAACTTCTTTGCTACTTAGTTTACTTCCATTCCTGTCTCTATATCTTTTGGTTTCCTAGTCATATGAGCAAGCTGGGTTGGAGTATGGGCACAATCCCTTCAGAGGCAATAAGGAGGACTAACAGCATTTTTATCTGAAGGCTTTTGCACCATCTTTTCTGTCTTGGACTTGGATTACATACTTGTGTTTGAACGGGTCTGTGAACTGCTCCAGTAAACATACCAGCAGGAGAAGAAAAATCCCCACTTTCTTCTGTCTCCTTTGCATCTCATTTCCATCTTCCCTCCTACCTTGCCCACTGTAGAATAGCTGGAGAAGTGCATTTTTGTATACTAATAAATTAAACTGGCTCACAGAAGGGTGTGATGGCTGCTAACTTATACCCTGCTCTGGCGTAGGCTTCCCATGGACTGCAGTCCTTTGGGAAAACCTGCACTGCCACAGGATTCCCATGCACTGCAGCTCCTCTGATCCGTCTGTCTGCTCTGACATGGGTCTTGCCTGGCTGGAGTGAGGGTATTGGCTCCACCACGGAGCACCTCTTCCTGCTCCTAGTCTGCTGTTCCCTCTGTTTTTTCTCACTGTCTTTGTTCCCACCTCTTCTTCCTGTCTGGCGTTTTTTGCCCTTTGTTAAACCATCTTACCCTGATGCTCAACCAGTTTCACTGCTGGGCCCAGCTCTGCCCTGCAGTGGGTCAGATGGTACCAGGTGTCTGACGTGGGGTAGCCCTGGCTGTGCCTCACAGGGACCCTGCTGCTAAATCCTCACCACATGTACCCAATATATGCACACATAGGATTGGTTTTTTTTAATATTGTTTTATGCAAATTTATTTCAAAATTATATAGCTGGACAATGTATATACATTGTCAGGGGCTCTAGGAAACAACTGTATTTAAATTAAGCTTTTGATACAATTTAATCTTTGATTTTTGCTGTGCATTGTAATGCTGTAAGTGGGTGTGGTTTTCTGGTGTAATTAGACAGGTGTTCCTGTGAAAGTGACAGTAGAAAGTGCTTCTACATTTGATACTGAAGACACAGAAGATTTAGGTGATATCATCCACTATCCTGATCTGGCAAGATCAATTGATAAGATTAATGTAACAGAGTATCAACAATTAGAGGTAAGAAGCATGTTCTGTGCCTTAGACTCCATAAAGGCAAGTTATATCAATTAAACCATGTTTTATTCAGAAAACTGTTGTTAAGCAAATAAGTAGCCATGGAGCAGGATTTCAGAATAGCTCTTAATTATACTGCATTATGTCACACAAGGTTTCATTTCAGAAGATGTATGTCAAATATGCACTGGATGTTCGACTTCTTAATATTATAATACAGATACGTACGCTATAAGCATATTGTCAAATCACTGCCTTAATAAGAAAGAACTTAGTACACACAACTGCAATATATGTAATTTCTCTGTTCCAGTCTTGAACCATAGTTTGCAAATCTTTCGATCAGTGTTATTACTTGTTGTATTTTCTTCCAAGTATTTCCTTTATAAAAGTAATTTAATGTTATTTCTGTTGTATTTTCTTCCAAGTATTTCTTTCATAAAAGTATTTTAATGTTATTTCAAAGAGCTAAAATATGGTAATGATTGTTGTGTAAAAATTATTACAAAAATAGCTGAAAGACTGTTAGAGCTTCATTTTATAATTGAGTTTAGGGTGGCTTAGAGCAAAAGGACTGTACAAATACTGCAATACTACTAGACTTCTTTGGGAATTTTTTTAATTGTTTCGTTGGTTGGTTTGTTTGTTTTTTAAACCTATATAAACTTTTTCTTTAGACCTACCTTTTTTCTCTCTAGAACTTTTGTTCAGGAAGGTTTCAAGGTTTTCACATGTTGCCGAGACTTAAAGTTGTATAGGGACTTTTGTTGAGGGTGAGTTTGTTACTGTTCCTGTGTAATTTATCAACATTGTGCTGTGTTGGTGGCTTCAACACTTATCAAAAGCATTGTGTATGGAATCATAGAATTCCATGTCATGTGAAAATGTTCCATGTAGGAACATAGAACAAGCTCGAAAAAGTTCTATGTAGGAAGTACTGTGCTTTCAGGAAACACTTCATGTATTTATTTTTGGTGTTTGGAGAGGGAGGAATATTATCTTCAGGACACAGGGCAGAGGCAGACATAACTTGTGCTTTGAGGAAGGGTTGTCATGCTGACCTATGACATCAGTGTTACCTGTAGAGCAACTGTAAGGAAGGGATAATTTGTGATTAATTTGGGCTACCTTGGAGGTAAAACTACCAATTTTAGCAATCTATCCCAAAATTGATTTTAAATTTTCTGTGCTTGTAAAACTCCAGATTTTCCTGACTTTCTGAATTTGAAAACCAAAATACTTTTTTATGCCATGGTTGCATATCAGATGCACTGTTTAAGCAGTCTGCAGCTGTTCCTGTACCTCACCCATCCTTGTTATTACATTGACACGAAGCAGGTTTCACATTATGGCAGAACCGAACTACCAACTTGTCACCATTGAATGGGGATGTCTATTTCCTCTCTGTGTCTGAGTGCTTTTTCATTTCTTGCTTCAGTCTTTTCCTCTTGTGTCTTTTTTCGTGTTTTTCTAAGTTGATTCAACTTGCTGATATGAAGAAAACCCATGTAGTTGAACAAGGAGAAGTGCAAAGTCCTGCACCAGGGAAGAACAACCCCAAGCACCACTATCTGCTGAGGGCAGATCATCTGGAAAACAGTGCTGCAAAAAAAGGCCCTGGGGGCTCTGGTGGACACTAAAGTTGAACGTGAGCCACCAGTGTACCATTGCAGCAACGGCGGTGAATAGCATGCTGGACTCCATTAGGAGGAATGTTATCAGCAGGCTGAGGGAGGCGATCCTTCCTCTGTGCTTATGAAGCCACAGCTGGAATACTGTGTCCAACTCTGGACTCTCCAGTACAAGAGAAATGTGGGCAGACTGGAGAGAGTCCAGCAAAGAGCCACAAGGATGGTCAAGGGACTGGAGCACCTCTCCTGTGAGGAAAGGCTGAGAGAGCTGGGACCGTTCAGCCTGAAGGAGAGAAGGCTTGGGAAGGGATAAATACCCAAAGAAGAGGGTGCAAATAGGATGGAGACCATCTCTTTTCTCTGGTGCCCAGTGACAGGAAGTTACACAATGGGCAGAAGCTGAAACATAGGAGTTTCATTCTGAACATCAGGAAACACACTTTCACTGTACGATTAACTGAGCACTGGCACGGGTTGCGCAGGGCAGCGGTGGCGTCTCCCCTTAAAAGATATTAAGCAACATCTGAACATCTTGTTGTAAGTGGCCCTGCTTGAGCAGAAGGTTGTACCAGATGACTTCCAGAGATCCCTTCCAGCCTCAACCAGTCTGTGATATTTTTCCAGGATAGTGTTCAGCTATCTTAACAACTCACATTAGTTTATGTGATTGGGGGTGTTTCAGAAACCCAGAGTATGGTAAGTGGCAGAAGTCCGTGGCTCATAAGGTGAGAGAGGAAGTGGAGGACTCTTTTATCTGTATTAATTTGGCTTAGGTACTGTCATTAAACAGCTTTTAAGGCCCAGCAGCTTCAGGGAGGAGTTGTCTTGAGCAACTTACCTAACTGAAAAGTAATCCAGTGTATTTAATTGTAGCAGGCCTCTCAGTAAAGTGAGACAACAGCTGTGCTAGAACAATGGTGGGAATGCAGAATTGGAATAAACAGTAAGAGATGGGAACTCCTTAAACTCTCACTTTGCCATGAAAGCTTTCCAAACGTTTTATGATGTGACTAAATGACCAGACTTTCACTTTAGTATGCAAGTCTATGAGAACTTCTCTGCATCCTTCTGCTCAGAAAGGGGCTTTAAGCATGCTGCTTAGTGAAACAAATAGTACTTAGTTGTGTTTTCTGTAAAAAAATGCCTTGGGTAAAGAAAGGCTTTATTTCTGCTTAAATGAAAAATAAGAACTGATAGATACTAATTCCTTCCACTAGAGGGAATTGAATGTCAGAGTGGGTTCTGATGAAGAATGTACTTGAGGTAACTCCCATATTTTTAAATTTTAACTAATGATTTAAATGGTGAACTTCACCCTTAGTCTAGTTACCAGGTCAGCTCTTTCCACATATTACTACTTTGTGCATTACAAAGAAGTAGAGATTGCATTACAACTTTTTTTAAAATAAGGACAGCAATGTATTCAAGGAGAAAAACATGGCTAATTAGTTCCTAAATTTTTTAAAAAATATTTTAATTTTTTAACTTCAGTTTTATACCTCTGTCTAGTGTTCAATAGTCATACTGCATACGGTAATTCTGAGGGCTATATATATTTTTGGTATGCGATTTTATCTTAAAGGCTGTCAGTGCTGTCTTTCTGGGCTATACTTCTTGAAGACTTAGTCTTATAGCTTGGATATATTTAGCTCTCTCTGATAAAATGCATCTCTGATGCATTTTAAAAATTTTTTTCAGCAAAAAGACTAGGGCATTGCGTCAACTAGTGAATTTCTTAAAAGCAAATGAAAGAGTGAAGTGTGCATATACTTGTAATTTAATGTTGACAAATATGTTTACACATATTGTAAGGTGTAAGGCATCTTCCTTTAAATGCTAACTTTGATACTGCTTATGAGGACATGCAGCTGTAGCGTTCAGTTTGCTTTTGAAGTCAGTCCATAACCATCAGGAGGGGTCGCAGCTGACTGGAAGCTGGCAAATGTTGTCCCGATTTTCAAGAACGGCAAGTAGGATGACGGAAACTACAGGCCTGTCAGTCTCACTTCAGTGCCTGGTAAAGTTATGGAGAAGATTATTCTGGGAAATATTGAGAAACACCTGAAGGAGAACACAGTCATTGGTCAGTCATTGGTCACAGCCAGCACAGCTTCATGAGAGGAAAGTCCTGCTTATCCAACCTGATTTCTTCTTATGTAATCCACCTAAGTTGATTAAGGGAAGCCAGTTGATGTAATCTTTTTGGATTTCAGCTCCATCTTGGGCCCTGTGCTCTTCAACATCTTCATAAATGAATTGGACGCAGGACTGGAAGGGATACTGAGCAAGTTTGCAGATGACAAAACACTCAGAGGAGCTGTCGACTCCCTGGAAAGCAGGGAGGCCCTGCAGAGAGACCTCAACAAATTAGAGGACTGGCAATCACCAACCATAAGAAGTTCAACAAGGGGAAGTGCTCGATTCTGCACCTGGGATGGGGCAACCCTGGATGTACCGGGGAATGAGATGCTGAAAAGCAGTGCTGTGGAAAGGGACCTGGCGGTCCTGGTTGATGGCAAGTTGAATATGAGTCAGCAGTGCCCTGGCAGCCAGGAGGGCCAACCATGTCCTGGGAGGCATCAGGCAAAGCATTGCCAGCCGGTCGAGGGAGGGAATTGTCCCGCTGTGCTCTGTACTGGGGTGGCCTCACCTTGAACCTTGAACATTGTGTGCAGTTTTGGGCACCATAATATAAGAAAGATATTAAGCTCTTAGAGAGCATCCAAAGGAGGGCAATGAAGATGGTGAAGGGCCTTGAGGGGAAGCTGCGGCTGAGGTCACTTGGTGTGTTCAGCCTGGAGAAGAGGAGACTGAGGGGAGACCTCATTGCAGTCACAACTTCCTTGTGAGGGAAAGAGGAGGAGGAGGTGCTGATCTCTTCTCTGTGGTGACCAGGACCCAAGGGAATGGCCTGAAGTTGTGTCAGGGGAGGTTTAGGATATTAGAAAGAGGTTCTTCACCCAGAGAGTGGTTGGGCACTGGAACAGGCTCCCCACAGAAGTGGTCACAGCAACAAGACTGACAGAGTTCAAGAAGCATTTGGATGATACTCTCAGGCACATGGTGTGACTCTTGGGGATGTTCCTGTGCCGGGCCAGGAGTTGGACTTGATAATCCTTGTGGGTCCCTTCCAATTTGCCATGTTTTGTGATTCTCTGATTCTGTGATCAAATATTGTGTACATTTAAAGTGTGATAAATGAAGTTTAAGCAAAACAAGAAAAATTCCACATTTCTGTTTAAAAAATTGTTGTAATTTAACTACTTAATAAGCCATTGCCCTTTGACATTACAAACCAGCAATTTGAGGAAAAAGGTCATTGCTGTCACCTTTAAAATTATCTAAAATCTGTCCACAACAAAAATACTATAGAACTAAAGTCTCTAAAAAACACCTGAAGAAAAGTACAAAGATCAGTGTTTACAGAGCCATTGTGCTGTCTGCTCTCTTATATGGATCTGAATCATGGGTCATCTACCGCCACCACCTGCGTCTCCTAGAACGCTTCCATCAATGCTGTCTCTGTACAATCCTAAACATCCACTGTTCAGATTATGTGACCAATACATCTGTTCTAGAACAAGCAGCTGTCACAAGTATTGAGGCCATGTTACTGAGATCACAGCTGCGCTGGGCAGGGCATGTCTCGAGGATGAAGGATCACTGCCTCCCTAAGATCTTGCTTTATGGTGAACTTGCCACCGGCTGCTGCAAGAGAAGAGCCCTGAAGAAAAGATACAAGGACTCCCTGAAACAACATCTCAGCCTTGGCCATATTGATCAACATAACTGGTCTACTCTGGCCTCAAATTGGGAGGTCTGGAGACACACCATCTATAACGCTGCAGATGCTTTTGAGAAAGCACGCAGGATCACCCTTGAGGAGAAAAGACAATGCAGAAAGAATCGTGCCTTGCAGAATATACCACCTAAGGAGTCTTTCTGCTGTGCCTTTAGCAACTGGATGTGTCTATCTCGTATTGGCCTTTTTAGCCACCAACGCACTTGTAACAAACGTGGATAGTGCCTTCCCAAATCTTCGTTTGTGAAGCCTAGCCATGATGATGAAAGTTTGTAAAGTAGAGTTCCTTGCCAAAAACCCCCTACATCTCAGAAACTTTAAAATACATACACATACATATGCACACACATTATAAATGGAAATGTAAGCATTCTGCAGGTCTGTGGTAGCTATGACTGGTCTTCAAAGCTAGGGTATGGGATTCCAAGTTACACATCAAGTTGTGAATGCAGAAAATTATGGTCACTATTTCCTGTCTGTAAGAGACATTACTTCCACATGTTCTAACGTTGATTGCAGTAAGACTGTGGTACTTTTGGATGGTTCTCCTTAGAGAATTGCCCCCAACTCTATGCCTGCGGGTTATATACTGACTTGTACAGGTGATGCTCATGTGTTCTGATGATAAAGATAAGAATAGCTTTCTAGTTCTAGGGTTAGCTTGGTTGATGCTATTCTAGGGATCATAGGAGTGGGCTTCACTGGGCAGTAGTGACAGACTCATAACCATCACTTAAGAGTGGTTGTCACTGCGAGGCCTATATCTAGATTATTCTAAAACCTGCATCTTTGAATCAGATGCAAAAGACCGTTGCATCTTATAAGACCTGTGAGGACCTCTTTGTATTTGGAGAAGGATTAGTTTTACTACATATTCTGTTTCACACCAGTCGTCTCAGATGATTGCCTATATGAAGTACAATAGTATGCTCTTGAATAAACTTTTATAGGAAACAAAGGATTTCAGTACTATTCGGATCTCTGCTTCTCTGTAGAACTGGTTGATAAAGTATGTATAAAAAGCTGTGTCTTTTTACATATAGGTGCTCGTGTATCAAGTGTGTAGAGAAATGAAGAAGTTTTGTATACTGTTATTTCATATAGTGTACCCTCTGAAAAATAGATTAGCTTGATAATTTTAACAGTTTTCACCTTTTAAATCAGAAGGCTCTGTTAAGGTGTGCAGGAACAAAAATTCTGATTTGTTCTTCCATGTCAGATGCTCTACTGGGATACAAGAAAATGTAGTATTGCTTATCAAATTCTGACTACTGTTACTGAAACTGAGATTCACCACTTAAAACTAATAGAATACACATGTAGGCATCTCATGAATAAGAATAGAATATGTTTATTAGATGTTTGGCTGTGTTCTTGTTAATTCAACACTAAACTTGGGATTGTGAAAATCTTATTTTTCTACTGAAGAAATAAGTGAAATCAGTTGTAAAGAGTACAGTTCTTACAGCTCAGAATTTTGTATTCTTATTGCTGTAAGAAGGAATAAAATCCTGGATAAAGAATACAGGCTGATAATCTAGAGACTTGTGCTGCAATTTCATGTTATCTGTTGCAATATTACAAATCTGTTGAGCAGATTTCTTCTTATTTTCTTCTTAATTTTTTGCATCCTAGAGTTATGTACTGGTAGACATCTGTCATGTATTTTCTTAGCAGATAAGTTTTTGTTTGGAATGCCATGTGCTATTTGTTAATTGGACGTGTTGAATTTTCGAATATTGCATGTTAATCTGACATTTTGAGGTAAATTTCTTGATCGTTTATCTGTGTTTGATAGTTGGAGCTGGAAGAATGCATGTTAAAACTAAAGGAAGAACAAAGAGCTAGAGAGAAGGCTGAGGAACGAGTAACAGAGGTAAGATACGTAACTGTTAATGATCTTTAAAGGAGGCACTGATCAAAGTATCCATGTGCTTAATTAGGAGTAATTATCTATGACCACTAATGTGGTGGCTTCCAGAGTTTCAGTTCAAAATCATGTGGATCATTTACTAGTCTGTTCCAGAGCCTTGAACTCCAGATCAAGCTACTCTTTCAATGGGTTTTGTTCATTTGCTAGTTTATGATCTGGGGCATCCTGATACTTATTTTTCTTTAGAAAGTGATTAAATCTGTTTGTAGTTTGCACACATGGATGGTTCTTTGTCTCCCAACTCACTGATCATGACTTGTGCTGAGAACCTCTTTGTTGCAATTTGATATGGTTTGAAGCTGGCTCCCTGCCAAGTCTCCAAACCTTACCACAAGAAGTCCCCCCCCCCAAACCAAGGGAGAAGAGGGAAAAAAAAAACAAGAGAACCGAAACGAGAGAGAGGCAGCTAAAGCAATATATATAAAAATATATTTACACTTATATTGCATTTATATACAATTGAAATATATATACAATTTCAAAAGGAAAAGGGAAGGGGGAAGGGAAAAAAGGAACACAAACAAAATAAAATATACACGATCAATAGCCCAAGATCTAGCAACTAAAAGAGTTAGCAAAAGACTATCTTAGTACTCTCCTTGGGACAACAGAAAGTCACACTGGAACGATCACCAGCAACCCCTGTCTCCCAAGGTCGGCAAGGCCTTACCAGGCCTCACTCTCCAACCCGACAGACTCAACAGCAGGGAAACCCGCACCTCCAAAGCCACTGGAAGGAAAGAGAGGGCGAAGACCTCTCCTCCTTTCTTCTTATACCCTGGCTTATGTAAAAATCATAGGGAATACTGGGTAAATCTGGGCACTTCCTTGGTTACAAACTGGTCACCAAGGAAGGCCTAGACTAAACTACCACACAGTTATTGTTTATTTTGGCTTATTCTGTACCTTTGATTTTTAAGCTTTGTTTCCACAGGCAATAACCATATTGGATGCTTGTCTGCATGCCAGTTGTTGTGAAGTGCAACTTAGTTTTACAAAACTGAACAACTTATCACAGTTAAATTGTGAAGTCTTCTTTCTCCTGTCTGCTCTTGCTGACCTAAAAATATTCTTTTGCATCAATAAGCAGAATTTCTTCTAATAGATTGCATGTAAGATAGTGTAAACAAATGGATTTAGTTCTTAGATATGAGTGGAGGGGACTGAAAGTGATGATACCTGTTGAAATTTGAGCACCAAATGGTACCCCACAGTACAGGGAGCAGATATCCACAAAGGACTGCACTCCACAAGGTTCATTGTAGAGATCTTGTGCAATCATCCACATCTTCCTGTAATGTGATTTGCACCAGTGGGCTCTTCTGGGTATCTGTTGTTTGAATACTTAAATGCTTTTTAGGCTAAACACCCCCTGAAAGAAATCTTTTTCTGTCATCCTAGACTGGTTGGATGTAGCACCTTGCTTCAGGAGAGCAGATAAACCAACTAGGAGTAATCTTTAAAATTGTTCATTTTGATGCTCATTTAACATCTGTAGCATACTACAGAATGTATAAATTTTTTGCCCTCTCATAATAAATGAAAGAAGGAAAGCCTGTGGTAGCATTTGATTGCACAACTGTAATCTTAAATAAGTGTCTGAGTTAATGCTTCCCTCAAACACAAAACCTTGTATATCCTGCAGTTATCATTTAACTTTTAGTCTGTCATCAATTTGATTAATATTCAGTGTGGAGAAAAATTGAATCATCCTTAACTTTCAATTTTCAGATGCACAGTGCAGGGAAGACTTAACAGTAGTATGCATTCCCTCTGATACAGAGGGGTGAATATAAGGAGAACATTGGCCTTTGTTATGTTTTTTTACTAGTAAAATAAACTCTTTGGTGTTAATGTGTCATATAATATACTCACTACTATGTTGAAAGCTAATTTTTTTCTGCTTATACTTGTTCTGTAACATTCTGTACATACTGAAGACAGTCCTGAGCCAGCAGTTTTGAGTGCCTGCAGCAATATCACTATGGTAACATAGAATTACAGCTGTGGATAAACAGATCTGCACACAACTCAATATAACAGTGCCTGGAATGTGTCTGGTACAGCAAACTCTGTATCTGTTACTTTAGTTACTATGGGTATTTTACTTTGTGATGCTGCTCTTTAGGCTTGCAAAGGTGAGGTTTGATATTTTTGGTTTTTTTAACTGAAAATGAAAAAAATTTCTTTTTTTCCCCCCCACTCCACGTAGCTGGAAATTGAAAATGCAAGATTAAGGAATCTAAATATCTCCCTATCCGAGGTTCTTCATGCACAGTCAGTAACCAGCACGATTTTGGAAGACGAAGGTGTTCTAGGCAGCATTGAGAACTCTTTTCAAAAGTTTCATGCTTTTTTAGACCTCCTTAAAGATGCTGGGTAGGTTGTCACTTTACTCAAGTCTTCCTGTTTCTCCTTAGATCTTTTTCTGAAATTATTTTCACAATGAAGTATGCTGCCTTCTACCCCCCAGATTTATAGAACTGTAATTCCAAAGAGCAAAGGAAAATAAATTAGCCATGTATCTACTGTTTAGTCTTTTCCTAGTGGGAAGAACGTGATCCAAGCACAGTTCATGTATTTGTCCTTGGAAAAGGCTTTCAAGAAACCCATTCTTAAAGAGCAGAAAACTTCTATTATAACATGTTTCCAAGTCTGTATTGAATCACATGTGGCTCGTAGCATTCTCATGAGATGAAAGGCTCAAAATGCAGTTGAATTGGCTTCAGAAAGTGTCCTATTGCCTTGTGCTTTCCATTTTCTAATTGAAGTATGGAAATCTAGATGAATGAATCTAGTCTCTATTTAAATTCTGGGTTATTTATTATTATTTGAATTATTTTAGAGAGTATTGATTAAAGTTTGTCTTACCACTGTACCTGCAGTTTCTCATAGGGTGGTTCATCCTTCCCATTTGTCAAAGAATTTCAGCTTAAACCTGATTCGTAAAGCTTATGTAGTCAGGCATGGCAATCCCATCCACAAGAATAAAGGAATGCTATGAATATATATTGTAGTCTACTCTGCATATTCAGAGAAGATCAAAAAAGATATTATTTGCCTCCCACTTCCAAACTGTAGTGCTGTAACTCAGAACAAGTAACAATGGCCTCAAGTTGTCCCAGGTTTAGACTGGATATTAAGAAAAATTTCTTCACTGAAAGGATGGTCAGACATTGGAACAGACTGCCCAGGGACGTAGTGGAATCACCATCTCTGGAAGTGTTCAGAAAATATCTAGAAAGTAAACATCTAAAACTTTTTTTAGTGATGGATCTGGCGGTGTTAGATTAACAGCTGGACTTGATGATATTGGAGGTGGTTTTCAATCTTAATGATTCCATGATTCTATGATTCTAATTTACTGTAAAGTTCACCCCAAGGCTGTGTTCTGATTTTGTGACAATCAATTTACAGAGCAGGCATTACTTCAAGAATTAATTCAAAACTTTTGAGGAAGGGACAAAGGCATTTTCACTACATGACAAATATTTTACCATACAGGCCCTATGACTATTTGTAGTACTAGGGAGCTGCTCTGGAAGTTATAGAATCCTAATCACAAAGAGTGTTCTTCTCATAAGCTTCTGTATATCATATCCTGTGCTATCAAGTGATGACTGCAACTTCTCGCTTCTTACTGAGGCTTAAAACACACCAACTTGTAAAGTGGCAAGTGACACATCACTGTATTTGTGAAGCATGTCATGGCATTCATTACGTATTATGCTAGATTGGAGTTGTGCGCCAATCTTCTGCTTGAATGACAGAGTTTTGATCTTTGTTCTGTCTGACATGGAATCTGCCTGTCAGCATCCTGTTCTGAGTGCAGTGTCAACTAGGAGAAATTAATTTTCAGCCTCATAACACTTGAGTTTTGAACCTGCAGGCTAATTTGTGCAAAGATAAGAAAATACCTCTAGCTACTTGGTTTCATCTTGGTTAAGATATTGGACTTCTCATAAAATAGCAGAAAACTATCTTCAAAGCTTTAAACAGATTCTACTTCTTTTTCTGCTTTTGATTGTTTAGGTCTTTCAAAGGCTAAGAATTGTTTGTGTCAGTTTCTATTGGACTTTATTTTACAGACTTGGACAACTTGCTGTATTAGCTGGGATAGACCAGTCAGATTTTGGCCTTTTGGGGCATCCGCAAATGAATTCTACTCTCAGTAAGCCTGCTAACATGGTAAAGGAGAAGTCTTTTGAAGAAGAAAGACAGGAACATAACCAGAACAGCAAAGTAAGTCTATAGAGAGAATGCTAGAGACAAGTTTAATTGATACTTTTTAACGTACTTTCAAGCTGTTATTCCCCTCTGATTCATGAAGTATTACTTCAGCCTTTTACTGCAGCTGCAGTTATACAGATGGTAATATTTCAGTGAGTAATGTAAGCTTTTAAAGTGTTTGCCATTTGGAACATAAAACATAGTATTTTGTAATGTATTAAAGTATTGGTGGTAATTATGTTGTTTCTTACTCTGAAATAAGAAGTTCCAATAGTGGTAGACATTCATTAAAAATAAAAAATACCATGACTACATTTTTTAGAAACATTTAATAATGATATATAGTGGTTTTAAAAACCTAGTCTCATAGTAGAGACTAGTACAATGTGCCTGCTGAAAATCACAAATTATCTTCTAAGTAATTACAGTGTATATGTCCAGTCCTGATGGATTTCTGTATGGCCATGACATGAATTTGAGGCAATTACAAATTTTCAGTATTTGCAGATAGTTCATAAGGTTTTCATTTCTACTCTGTCAATTAGTAGAAAATCCTTTGGATTTTTCAAAGGAGATACTCAAGTTCCTGTAATAAAACAAACAAAAAAAACTAAACCCAAAACAAGCAAACAAAGAAAATCAAAATGAAAAGAACAACAAAAATAGCCCAGGCATAAGTTTTTAAGGCTATTAAAAATGAAGATACTGGCAGCCTATAGCCTTGTCCAAGTTGAATAAAACTGTCAGATCTGAGAATCACACTGCATTCCAATGTGTTCCTTTAACTGTTCTGCATTCCTCAAGAGCATCATGAGCCTCTAAAATATGTTAAAAATTTTGGGCTTAAAAAAAAAATAAAAAGTTTTAAAAGTGTGGGAAACAATTTCCGGTTTGAAGACTCTTGTTCTTATCTCCTAGTATAGTTTAGGTTCTTGTAGTGGCAAGTTATTGTGGGATAGACTTTTGGGACTCTACCTTTGTGAACTGCAAGCAAACGTAATGAATTGCAGGTATTTTTGAATGATAGAAATGATTAGGCGTTGGCTGCTTCAGTGTAACTGACACATCTTTGTAGTATAGATTTAAAGCTAGATAGGAAACTGTAATGTGGCTTCTCTGTGTATATATGGCAGTTGGAATACTGGCTTTTTTCCTCTCTATTTGCATCAGTATCTTCATTGGAATCTCTCATTTCAGAACAGAATAGGGGACATCCAGCTGTCTCTTCCTGGTACGTTTCAATCCCAGATGGTTATGAATAATGCCTTTTCTGCACTTAGAGAAATACAAGAACTTCAGACTGCTGGACAGCAGTACCAGCTAGGCTCATGGAAGGAAACTGAAGCTCAAAGAATTGACGAAAATAAAGAGGATAAGCCTCGCAGTAGTACACCAATATTCTCTGAGCGGAGAGTCAAACAAAATGAACAAGCAAAAGGTCACTCAGCAAGGCAGTTGCATTCATTTGCTGATTCCAGTGTACATATTAAAAGTGATGACAGCAGAGTATCCAGTGGTATGTCTGTTGAAAAAAGCAAAAATTCTTCCTCTAAGAAATGCATCCCTAGAGCAAATGAAACGGCAGCTCCAGCTACTGGAGCGAGAGGAAACCAAAGTACACTACAAGCAGTAAACAGCTCTGGAAGTGACACTTTAGGATCTGGTTCTGAAATACAGGAAAGTATACAAAGTGTTACCAGCATTTGAAATGGTTCTAAAATGTTTGGACTGTTCTTTACACTTGGTATATTAATAATAGATTTTGGATGTTTCAGTATAGTTTGTGAATTTTTTGTAAGGTAATGAAGACTTTGTTTTTAAAACATTGCATGTTTTTAAAACATTGCATGTTGTTTCATGTTTGCATTCCTTGTCATGAGATTTTGAATTTTGGAAACACATGATACACTTAAAATGGTACCTGTCAGTTTGTACTACATACAGAGGACTCCTGGCATATGGATTTCATTACCTACACTGATCTTGGTGTAAACTGTTTTGAGCCAATAAAGTTAATTTGAGTACAGTTTTTTTCCAGTGTTTATTTCAGTGTATTCCAAGGTAGGGCAAAAACGGTTTTGGGGGAAACATCAATTCCTGCCTAACAGTGTGTGGGTATGACATTTCCAAAAGTAGTGGAAGTTTCAGATTCAAAAATGAACCCAGAAACATCTCTGCAAGAAATCTTTAAATATAACCATCTTATTGTATACCAGTCATACCAGTTATTAGTATGATGCAGATTATAGAGTAACACACACTGGAAGGGACCTTTGGAGGATGTCTAGTCCAGCTCAGTTAGCTTGCTCTCAGGACCTAGAGAAATGTGAGAAAATAAAACTAAAAGAATATCATTGTTCTAAAACTCCTGGGATTTTTCCCCCAGCTTCTTATTTCAGTCCCTGTGCATAGGCAGCTGGTTTGCAGCTTCTGAACTAGAAGATATTTTTCACATACAGGAATTAGGCTGAACTAGGGGGAAAAATATTGTATAACTTTCTTTTTATTCTGAGTTCTGTCATGTGAGTTCTGGAACAAGGAAGATCTGTAGAAATTGCTGACTCCTATTGCTTTATAATTATGACAAAACCCATGAATCCTCAAATGGAAGTTTTCTACAGAGCAAATAGCACAGGTTTACCTTAACTATTGCAATATTGCACAAGTAATTGCACAATGAAAGTATGTTCTTTGTGCAGACTTTGTCACTTCAGAATATTAGAAGGTAATACGTTAATCTGTGTTATTTTTCACATACTTTCCCAACTGTTTTTCTAATTCTTCAGTCATCCTTTGCTTGTGATTTTGGTTTGATTGAACAATTACATGCAATCTATATATTCAGCATTAAAATGCTATCTGTTCCTTTTTTTAGAATTTAAAACTCTAAAGCTAATCCCCAAGAAATGCTGGGTAAAATTAAAAATTCAAAAGTGTTTGGATTTGTGAGGTTAGCAATTAGGAATCTGTTATTTGTCCTTAAAAATACCAAAAAGAACTTAGAACAGTTTATGTATTGAAGGCCTATAAGCAGATGATATAAAATACCTTTTATGCTAAGTACTTAATTTTATATATTCTTTTTGACAATATGAATTATGTAAAAAATAATAATTTAAAACAAAATTGATCAGGCAGTTTGCAATTAAGATTGGCATGTTTTTTTCCAGTGGATTAATACTTAACCTTTTTTTTTCTGTAAAATCAGAAACATGAAGGATTCTTCATCTCATCACTGGTGCTGTGGTATAGCACTCTTCCTGTAAGAATCTGTAGTGCCTACTTTATATATAGTTCTGTGTTGGATCTGAAGTCAGTAGAGACAATGGATTGAAGTCACCCAGAGGAGAAGTATTTTTTTTAAGGCTATCATGAATATTTCAGAAGTTTCAAGGGTTTTGCTTACAATTTAAAAATGCATTTACAAAAAATATTTTATACATATAAGTAATTATTTTGTATGTATATTTAACAATATTTTAATATAAAGTAAAATATTTTTGTTTATTATGAGTTCTCATATAAACTGTTTCATCCTTTTGCTGTTAGCTAATATTTTACATATTTGTGTTCTTGTCTGACATAAAAGCCTGAAATCAATGGGCCAGCTATTTGCTAGAGAACATGTTACTGTTTATTCATAAAACTCAATATTTTTTCTCTCTTCATTTAGGCTTCCGAAGAACTACTTTTCACAATTCAGAACTGCGATCTCTGGCAAACAAATTAACCTCAAACCCCTGTTTGAACTACCTGTATTTTAGGTTTCAGCAAAATTTGCTTGTCTCACTACTTTGCTGTACCAGACATTGCAGCTGCCTCCAGAAACAGTTGCCAGGTTGCTATGTAGTCAGTATTATTTGTCTTTAGTAATGACGTCAGTTTGTCAGGTATAGTACCAGAGAGAGAACTTGTGTACACTTGCTCTCCTTGAGTGAGCTGATCCTTTTCCAGCAGTTGTCAATCAATGCTGTCCAGCATAACATGAAGTTACCATGAGCCTAATAAAAGTTCACTGAAAACTCTGAAACTTTATTTACACTTTTTCTGTGTTTTTTGTGGGTTTTTTTAAAACTGTAAATACAGCTCTCTCTGCTTCTGTATTAATTATGCAAATTCATGTTTATCCCCAGGGATTTGTGGCAATGGAAGGGTCAAATTCTCTGTCAACTTACAGAAGCCGGAAGCATTCCTGGAAGTCACAGGTTTGAAAGCCTCTGTTTCATAATGGGTGACTATGAATATTGATATGATGAATTCATGGGTTTTGATGTAATAAAAACATTAAATCATAATTGCTGATAGCAAAATATTAAAATAGGAGAAAATTCAATAGAAACAAAACTCTTATGTGACCTGTAGTGTTTGTCTTCATTCTTTCCAACTGCAAAAGCATAATAATCCCTTGCCCAAAGCAAAAATTTCTGGTTTATACATTCTTATCAATTTTCTATACTTCTATACTTCCCATCAATGCATTATGTGAACTTGTCTAAAGCTCTGCATGGCAAAGCTTCCAGCACTGTTGTACTCTGATCTCATAGGAGCTGCTATTTTTGACCCTTCTGGTCAGGATGGGACTTCGGTGAGGTGAAAACTACAATACCTGGTATTTACTCCCAGTGCTCTGAGCTGATACCAGCACCAGCTTGACTAGTTTCTATTTTTGTGTTCTAGCTCTTTGCCAAAGGATTGAATTACATTTTTAACTCCAAAGTTTTAATTTACGTTGTGGTTTGTGCCACACAGGATTGAAGACTGATCCTACTCAGATGTCAAAACACTTTCCGACCTGAATCATTAACCTACACTACTTCTGACTGCCTCCATTACCCCTTCCTACCTAGGATGCCATTGCCCTAGCAGATTGGACTTTGAAGCTACCTCTCTGGGCAGACATAAGTGGTTTGGATATAATACTGGGAAAAGCCGATATGAGGATCCTGTATCTCTGGAGCCGATTTTATTTCAGACACTAATAAAAATAATTAAATTGTAATCACATCTATGTTGCTACTTAGCATTTCAGTAGAGGCTTCCATTTAATTAGAACTGATTTTAATAATTAGAAGTAGTGTAGTTGTTTTGGAGGTTGTGGCCTGAGACATACTTTAAAAATACCTTGCTGTTTTGAAGATAATGTATTCAGCCTATGATAATGTCTGTGAAGTTTGCAATTATCTCTTAAGAACTGAGGAGGTTTCTGGTGTCTGAAAGCAAGTTTGGTAGGTTTTTCTTAAGCTATAGCCATTACTGAAATGAAGGTTATCTTTGCTCTCAAACCAGTGTCTCTGTTTTCAGTCTTTTAAACAAAATAACTTATGTAACGTGTTAACTAAATACCAGATCAGGCTGTGATCTGTAAATTTTTTTTACTGTTCTAGGTATCACCTGACTTGACAGCAAAAGGAATGAAAAATGATATTTTATATAAATTTCAGTATTTGCAAAGTAACAGGCATTGACACTTTCATTTCTGAAAAAAATGCAGATTTAGTATACAGACAATTAATGTTGATTAGCTTGGTGAACGTGCAAGGGACTAAAGAAGTGCCAGTGTTACAGGTAACATTGGGTAGTCTAAGGTGTTCGGGAGCTGTGCTTTGTACATACGAGAATCGTGAATCTTGTCCAAGATACTTGAAGACTATGGGACTTTGTGATGCCCATCTGTTTTCAGTCATACTTCATGGCTTGTTTTGTCAAAATTGATTTACTGCTACTGTTTGTAACTTCTGAAAACTGTTAGGCACAATGTCTCTCCCTAAAACAATCAGAAGAAATTGGGTGAGCTAAAATCTTTCCTTCAGTTACAACAGTTTAACTGTACAACCTCTATGTTTTCAATGAACCAAGGCATGTGTGGAAAGAGTGGTTTAGTATTCAGGAATATTAGCCTAGGCTTTGGCAGACCTCAAGGCAAGTCCGTGCTCTGCTGTCTGTGAAATGAATTAAGTTTCAGAGCCCTCTTGATTTTATTCTCTTCCTATGAATTCAAGTGGCAATTTGCCTGCAACAAACTTTTCAAGAAAACAGTGTGCAAGGTGCAGGTACTTTTTGGCTTGGAGAAGGCAGGGATCCTCCTCCTCTACGAGGAAAGAATTTCACCCAAAATATGAGAACATTTGGATACTGTAAAACTACCTCTTTAAAGAGGAATCACAGAATTGGTCAGTATGGAAGGAACCACAGTGGGTCATCCCTGCTTGAGCAGAATCATCCTAGAGCAGGTGGCACAGGATTGCATCCATATAGTTCTGAATGTCTCCAGTGAGAGATTCCACAACCTCTTTTGGCATCACTGTGGATCGCTGTTTGTAATTTCTCACATCTTCATGCAGATTGCTTTTGGAAGAAGTGTCCCAACCCTGCAGCAGCAACCGCGTGGGGAAAAGCACAAGTAAAGTTACAGTAGGACATGCTGTTACAGTAGTTAATTGTGTGTGTATGTGCGTGCGCCTGCCTCCATGTCTGCCCACCGACGGCTGCGTGTGCACTGGCACCTCACCAAGGTTCACCAAGGTTTCCCAAATGCCAGGCAAGTAGGTAAAGGCAGATCAACCCCGTCACGGCGATCGCAGCACGACCTGCCCGCTCCCCGCCCGTGGGCTGCGCTCGGCCCCGCCCGGTCCCACCGCCTCGCCGCGGCCGCGCTGCCAATGGGCGGCCGGGACAGGGGCGGACCCCGCCGGGCTCCCGGCGGCCGGGGGTTTATATCGGCCTACCCGCGGGACTGCCAGGGTCGGTACTGACGCCATCCCCAGGACGATGGACGGCGGGAGGCAGGTGGCGAACTTCGGGGCCGGGCCGGCGAAGCTGCCGCGCTCCGTGAGTAAGGGCCAGGCTGGGGCACGGCGCGGGTGGGTGTCCTCGTCCTCACGGCTTCCCCGCGGGCGCCGGCTGCAAAGCAAGGGCTGGGGAAGTTGAGTAAATAGTCATTAAAAGAGTTAAGCCGCACAGCGCCGAAACCTCCTTTCTTCTCCCTTCCCCACCCAACGAACTGCCATGGTAAGCTCGGAGTTTTGGAAGCGAGCCCTAGTGTGGTTTTTGGAAATTTTTTTTAGGTTTTTTTTTTCCAAACCAGATCATATGGCATCAAGGGCATTTCGTTAGTTTTGGGATGGGAAGTAGGTACTCAGTGCAGAAGGGTAGCTGTGTAGAGTATTCCATGAATCGTCTTTATTTAAGAAGTTATAGTGAGTGTAGCGTGGACTCAACCCTCTGGAAAGTTGCATCAGCAGCCGTGGATTATCCAGTGGGATATGGAGAGAGGGTGGTTTTTTCCAAATTGCACGCATGTGACTTTCAACTAAGGGTTATGTACTGTGGAATTTTTTTTTTTTCTTGGTTCTTTTCTTAGTTCCCTTCGTAGGGGAAGGGAATATATGTGTTATTTCTTTAAAAATTTTCTTTAGGCAAATGAATTTGCTGCAGAGAAGCTTTCTTCATTTTTTTTTGTTTGTTCCCTCTCCCTCCACTCTCCTTTCCCCCCCTTCTTTTTTCTTTCGGAAATGTCCTTTGTAGGTGAGGTTGCCAAGAAATTTGTTGTTCTCTCTTGAATCCTTCGTTTCCAAAAGGGGCTCTCAATGGGACTGCTGTAGTACCCAGGTCTCTGACAGACTATTGAAAACTGGATTTAGGGTTTGAGTAGGTCATTGCTGAACTTTGTATTATTAATCTGTTTTCTTCTCTTGAAATGCAGTGTTTGCATGTGGACTATTCTATCATCTCGCTTGTTTCTCTTTGATTGTGATTCACGTGAAGTACTCAGACTCACTGAAGCATGAAGGTGGATGGAGCAATTTGTGGCCATTATAAGACGTGTTGCCGATGTCTGCACAGGCAGATTGTCTGATAAATATTACTAGCAGAACTGGATTTTATCAAGCAGTTCTAGTAGTCTGTGTGCTCCCTTTCATTTCCCCCCCCTTTTCTGGCATGAATAAATTTGATTGTGGAACATGGTATTTAAAACTTCATAATCTCTAAAATAAAAAGCAGCATAGTTGTTTTCAGTTGACCTCTTGCTGACCAGCTATTACAGTTTACAGGCTGTGCAGATACCCTGTCAGCAAGGTAGATCTCTTGTTTCTGAACCTGTCCAGAATGTGCAGTTTCTTGTTAGATCCTGGGGTGCATTCATGTAGCATTTGTTTTGCTCGCTGTTCTACTGGGGCTCCCTCTTCTCCCACTTCCTTTAGGAAAGCCAAGAGCATTCTGGCTCTCATACGAGAATTTACTGAAATCAGAAGCTGCAGATCCAGTGACCAGAATCTCATTCTACTTTGTTAATACTCAAGAGCTATTGGAGAAGACAGAAAAAAATGTAAGGCTGAAGCAGAAGATTACTTGGCTAGGACTTATAGGAGTGACCTGGTTTTTTTGGTTCTCTCAAAATTTTGCTTCATTTCTTTCTTAACTTTCAATAACATAGAAAAGGCTCATCCTCAAAAAGTGTGGAGCTTCATTCTGTAAAACCAGTCATTGTCCTGTTGGCTCGGTGTAAGATATTCAATTCCCCAAGCTGACCTTTTTCTTTATGTTTTCTTCAATACCTTGGTTGTCCTATTTACACAAGTCACGTGAAAGATCACAGATGCAGAGGTGGGTATGGGTTATTTAGGACGCTTGCTTAGAAAGTATGGAAACATTAGGTGTTTTGTAAAGCTTAAGAGTTTAAGAGTTCCATTTGACTTCTTGAAATCATTCTGAAATCTGGAAATGTAATAACTTAAAACATGGTCTCCACAACAAGCATATGATTTAAGTTGGCTATCTTATGAAAACCTTTCAGCTGCTAGATAGAATGAAATTATGGCGACAATACTTCTCTTAATCTCACTTGACAAGTGTCAGGTTATTGCAGTGTAGAGCAGCTGGCATAGGCATGATGCATCAGTGACTCCAGATAGTTGGAAAATCCCTTAATTTATTTCTGGATTTTTTTTTTCTTTCATTAGGTATTATTAGAAGCACAGAAAGATTTGGTGGACTACAAAGGGCTTGGTATAAGTGTTCTTGGTAAGACTTAAAAA